AGTGCTCAGTTCTGCAGGGCTGCCGCTGTGTGTTGCAGAGGCTGCCAGCCCTGCCTGCACCAGCAGTTGCACAGCTTAATTGCTCTCCCCACTGTGCCTCCCCTCCAGTGAGTGAGGCTGGTGGTCTCATGTCCAGTGAATCCCAGTCACTTCTGAGTTAGTCACAAAAAATCATTCCAGCTCCACGTTAGTCACAAAAAATGCTCCTCTTCCAACAGTGATGGAAGTACTACAGCTAAGATATTGAAAACAATACAAAATAAACGGACCATGCTGAGGAAGCTGCTAGGAGGGAAAAGAAGACAAGGCATGACTAAGAGCTGACAGGGGAAACCCTGGCTTTGCTTGCAGGGCGTGGATGAGCAAGGAGTGGCGACTGCAGTGATTGTTCTTTGCCACCTGATTGCATAAGGACAGACTGATTTCCTGAGGCTGCTGGGATAAAGCACAGCAAAATCATCACGGAGGAGAGAAGAATGCTGGGTGGAGGCGCAGGATCAGTCTTCACCATGCTCCTCGCCTGCTAGATGGTGTAGACCAGGAGCACCACAGTGCCAACCCACCATGCATGCAGGCTCTGGGTGCAATCAGATGTGGTCCTGGTCTGGGCTGGCTGACATTGTCATAGCCTCAAAGTTTCTGGAGATAAAGAGGGGACCTGAGTTTCCAGGATGATCTGCTCAGCAGCTGTTGCTTGCAAATGATGAGCTGAAGGAGAAAGACATTTTCTAAAACATTTTGCTAAAACATTTAGCAAAGAGACAAGACTGGGATGATTAAGCTTAAGTGCTGGTCCACTGGGCTAGCGATGAGGTGTATGAATGACATCTGCAGAAGGGCTACCATCAATGATGATGACAATCATGCTTAAATCTCATCTGTCTGCTTTCATCTGCAGCAGCTTGGTGGAGAAGGAAGGGCTCAAAAATGGGAAGACTCAAAGTGACTTTCTTGTGGTGAGACAGCCTGCCACTGGCTGGGAGAAACTCAGTGTCCTATCCACTAGACCATACGTGGTGCTTCTTGTAGCACAAGGTGGTCACGCCAGTCTATCCACATGAGTGACATCTGGCAGGATGGACCAGCTGGCACCAAAGAACCACGTTGATCAGCTTGTGAAGATCATCAGCTTTTATAGTGCTTCAAGCTCAGCTGGGAGAGGTGGCAAGCATGCAGACCTTGATATTGGAAGGCACTAGCAACACATCAGCCTAGAAAGCAAGGGTAATGGAAATGCAGCCCTGGTCCTGGGAGAGGAGCTTGTTGTAAATGGGATGGATATGTGAAGAAGTGCTCTGCTTCATGTGCATGAGTGGAAATAACTTTAGAGAAAGAGATCAATAATGGTGCTGCATATTCCACCTGGCCTGCCTCTGGGTACTGCAATGCCCCTCTCACTGCTAGAAACGTATGGTCAGGGTATGTTCTCTCAGAAAAGCATCTGCAGTGTGGTAAAAGGAGCAGGGATCCTTTCCGCAGTGAGCGTCTAAACTGCTCTAAGACAAGTCTGAGATGCACAAACTGTTCTTGTGCCGAGATGTGAAAGATCGCTGCTCAAACTGTCCTCAAGGTAAAAAGTTAACTCATCTAACAACCGCTGGCACACACTAACCCTGTCCAGTGTCCCCCTGAGATCGGAGCCAACACTTGTACCTTTTCCGCTGTACTTCCAAGAGCAGAGAGACATAGGTGTCAGCGGACTTCCTTCAGCATTTTAGCTCGTTCCATTTTCATGGCAAAGAGGACAGGGCCAGGTAAAGAGCCCCATTCTTACCACACTTCCTTTTAAATAAGGCAGTGCTCTGTAGTCTGCAGCATGCACAAGATCTGAGCCCATGTGCAAAGGCAGCCCAGCAGTTCCCACTCAAGATTATTACCAGTATTTGGAGGATTGTGAATTTGAGATGTAAATTTGCATCTTTGCTATCAGATGTACAACAAATTTCAGGGCTTCATTAACACCACTGTCTGTAACCTCACACCAGCTTTTGGGCTGGTGGCTTAGGGGGAGGCTTTGAAACACTGACCACCTTTTGCACTTCAAAGTCTCCACTTAGGCCTATGTATCAAAACATTGAAAGGCTTATTAACATTACCTTCAAAAATCACACACCCTAAATCTTTTGACTGCTGTCATATATGCTTCTTGTTTGGATGAGTAATGTTTGAGTTACAAAGTTTTCTTTCTGCTATAGTACATTTTTTACCTCAGCTGTCTTTGAATATGGGTGTCTCCATAGCTTTAAAATTTAGAATTAATTTTATTCTGGTGCAGAACAAAACAAGCCATATCTCCATCTGGTGTAAGTAGTGAGAGAAGCAGGTTTTAATGCATCTGTTTATGCCAGTGGTAAATTTGGCCCTTACAGGTTTTAAAATATGCTCTAGCAGCAGAAAGGATTTGAAAAATTAGGTGCTAACTGCATTGTTATCCAAAGATCAAACCTGGACTAATCCAGCACATCCTTTTAAGATTACTGGCAATTATGTTGTCTTTTCCCTTGAGTGCAGTTCCATTTCCCTAATACTTGGGCTTTGCCAGCAGGTCCTAAAGGGTAGGTTGACATTTTTGTTGCGAGGCATTAAGAAAAGAGTGCAATGTTGTCTCTATATGGGTACTAAACAGGGTGCAACTTTATTTACAGTGTAAAGTGCATCACACAGAAGTCGTTTAAAACACACAACAAGCAGTGACATAAATGACAATACAATACTGGGTAGGAAGGGGAAAGTGTTCCAGCAAGTATCAAAACACCATCAACAGCACTAATATAACAGCCTCTAGTTTCAGCTACTCTGTCCTACTATCACATCTTCTTATGAAACGTGTTGACTGGATTGATCCCAGGACTCCATGTACTAGTCACTAGTGTGAAGTTGGAGTGCTAAAAGCCATCCCATAGCCCTAAAGTCTCCAACAATATCCTGGCAGCTCTAAGCAATGTCCTCACCACTGCTGTTCTGCTCTAGAGATCACCAGGGCAGAGTCAGGGCACACACCAGAGAAGCACACTGGAAAAGGGACCAAAACATGAGAGTGACATATAAATAAAGATCTGCTTTTCTTACCCATGCACTCTTTTCCTTGAGAAGTCCTGTGTTCACTGCAGCTTCCATTCATACGCTGTTAAGGCAGCAAGGAGGTCAAGGAACAAAGTGCCTACAAACGGTGGTGACTATGGGTTGAAATGCGGACATTACTTACTGAACACTAACTTCAGTCAAAGCTGTAAACATCGATGGCTGTGGAGCTGGGAGACAGAAGATTGTTGCTACGTGCTAGCAGAGTCCATTAGAAAAAGAAGGTTGTGGGAGCTGAAACAACTCTTCAGCTGGTTGCAGCTCCCACTGGAAAGGAATCTACATTCACATTAATCTGATCCCCTAATTCTTTCCCTATCTGTTTTTCTTTTAATTGGCTGAAAGCTCTTACTGGCTCACAACTTCGCTTGTTTCTTTCTTCCCCATTTCTGGTCTTGGGCTAACAGCCATCAGTTATGTGTCAGTATTTACTAGTGCCTTATTACTGTAACTGTGAGGTCATTTTGGTGTCATATCACTTTCCTGTTTCCAAGTTCATGCATTCATAAAAGGAAGGTCAATCTATAAAGTGGGGAGGGTGGGGCAGGTTGTGCACTCTCTTGATCTGGAGGGTAACTAAGCAGGAATTCTACAGAAGGTAAAATTTCTTTCTCCTCCTTCTTTCCCAGTGCTGACTGCAAGTCACACTTCTCTATTACTACTGGGAAAAATGGAGCTTCTGACCAATGACCCTCAGGTTCTCACTCTAACATCATCTTTCAGAAATCAGACTTCTTGGTAAATGACAATAATTACTGAACATTTGACCTAAAAAAATGCATGTGATTTCCACCTTGTAATTCCACCACCCTGCTTAACCGTAGGTACATCTTAGCATCTCAATTCATTAGAGCATGACTTAACGATGGCATTCAGGTGTGTGTTATCCTCAGATGTAATGGCATCAACAGGGTGAGAAACAGAAATCTGACAGCATGTGTGCTCTCACTATTTCTCACTCAGCTGAGCATTTCTGCCTCTCTGTGTTCTCAGGAGAGGCCTCTTCCAGTTCTCTGAGGGTTCTGCATAACATAATGTCATGGTTTAACCCCAGCCAAACCAGGACACATAAATAGAAGCTTTCAGTAAGCAAATAGCAAAGTTTCACCTGTAAACATAACTGGTGCCTTCTCTCTCCATCTTAGGGGCAGTCAAACTTTGGGACCCAAACCCCATGTATCAAATGCATTCACCTAGCAGACAGCTGCTAGATGTGTATTTTGTAATTTACACAGGGAAGGGATGGTGGTTACAGGCAAGTGGTGAGTCCCATGGCAAGTGGGAAGCGCAAGTTTCGGTGGTCTGCCTGCTTCCCGCTGCTGGATCCTGGATTATCCAGCTTTAGAGCTACACCTGAACTGCCCATAAGCCAAAAAACCTCAAAGGCTCTTGTTGGCTGGACTTGTTCCATGTTTCTGTGAATGGCATGGTGTTCTCTCATCTCTTTTACATTTTTTACTATTTTACCAATAAATCTCAAATAGAATTCATGCTGATGCCTTCCATTAAGTCACTCTCCAGTGATGTTAATGTCATATAATATACATTACAGAATCTTCTTCTTATGCCCACCAGAAACTGTGGTTACACAACATGGACTTTATCACATGTACTTCTAATTTACATCAATGAGTTCAGAAACAGGCCCAATGCAAAGTTTAGAGGCTCAGTTAGCCTTGCGTAACTATGCTTTACTGTTGAGTTGCTGGACAGCAGTATGCTTTGGCAGATGGTAAGCATAATTGCCACATTCTGTTTAATCACAGTTGGCAGTATAGTATGGTTTAATTAGCTTACTGTATGTAAGAAATGGGAGGGACTTCACTGTACACAATCACTTCCTCAGTGGACAGTAGGAATCTTTACATTTGTATGTGTATGGTGTTTGTAGCAGCATATATTTGATAATACTTTTGTAAATGAAAAATACAGAGGATTTCCTTAAAAATTGAAAGGTATAGTAAAAATTTATCACAAAATAAAACACAAAACAAGGGAGCTGGTGGGGAAGGGAAGCAATGGATTTGATTTAAAATGCATTAGATTCCAAGCCCTGGTGCCTAGGCTGAAGAAAGATTATCTGAATGTAGAACTGCTGCTCTGATGTTAAAAGGGATAGAATCCAGCCTTCCGTTTCCTGCATCAAAAAAACCAAAAATAAAATCAGTGCTGTACTGAACATACCAAACAGGATCAACAGTGAAGTACAAGAGGATGGTGTCTGAAAGCGCACCAGCGATTAGAGTGCCACAGCTCAAGACAGCATATTAAGAAGGGAAGAGGGTGGGTGTGGGGAATAGAGATATGTGGCATTTAATGTAAGTCATGACTCATGGCAGAGTCGTTTGGAGCTAATCTTGTCCTGGATGCTGATAAAAGCTTTTGGCCCTTTCAGCTTCCCCTTATAAATCACACCTAGTTAACCTGCAATAGCAAATCTTTGCTATGATGGCATTTACTCCTGTTCTACCTGTATTGTTTTTGAGTCCTCAGAACTTAACATACCCCGTAAAGAGCCACCAGCTGCTCAGGCCAAAGCTTAACAAAATATGAAGCAGATCTCAGTGCTTGTTCCTGTCCCCTCCCCTCCCCTCCACCCCTCTAGTTCTGTGTGGGAAACTTCCCCTTGAACAGCTCTTGAAGGGACGAGCTGCTAGTCTGACAAGCCTGTAGGGCTAATGATCTACCTTCTCTCAGGCTTCACAATGCTGCACAGAGTCCAGTTTGGTAATAGCCTGAAACTTTGCTTTGCCTCGGAGATAAACTCCGTAATTTTTGGTTCCTAAATCCACTGGATTTGGACTTCTCTGCTTCATGTTCTAAATGGAAATAACATCAGACTTTAGCTGTGTAGCTTTCAGTCTAAAGCTGGATAGTGTTTGTTGGCAGTATATTTACGTTGCCTCACTTATGCATATATAATCACAGCTGACAGATAAAAACTATTCATTTTGGACAATGTAATTTCTCGAACAAACATCTTTTCTGTAGCTTTAAGTTAAACAGTATGTCAGAGAGACAGGGAGGAATGCCTGTCACTACTTGTCCAGAAAGAAGAATAGAAAAAATGTACAATGTCACAGGCTTTGTCTGTATTCTAGAGAAAACTATTAATATTCAGCTGTTATTTTGTTATTATATCTGATTCCTGACTACAACAACATCATTACCATTCCACCTGTCTTCCCATTTCAGGGTTGTAAATGGCTCTTAATGGCAGCATGAAATAAACCAGCTTTCCAAAGAAAAACTGTGTCCTGTTCAGACTGCCCTCAAAGCCAAACACCCAAACTTCACAAGTTAACTTAAAAAAACAAAGCCATAATTAAGACTTGTAAATGCTGCCTCTCATGGTGATGGGGCTCACTGATTTGAAAACCTGGTCCGCTATTGGCCCCGTTAGACATGGATCAGCAAACCAAAACACAAGCACTGGTAAAACTCTCTGCAAGAGAGCACATGTAAACCAGATCTAAGCCCTGTCCTTGGGGCTCTTGATACACGGACTGCACTGCCAGGTGATTTGAACTGGCACTTGTCTCAGAGGCACTGTGTTGTACTCTTTAAATGATTACACCACTCAACACTAGGTGTAAGAAGAGCTATTATAATTGATAACATCTGTTGCATGACCTTAGTCTTGAACCTGGACCCAGCTCAGGTATATACAGGTCAAAATGAACACTTGTATGCAGTAGGCCACACACATTTTCTGAAGAACATTCTGTATTACACCACAACAAACATTTCCTTTTATACCATTGAAAATAAGGCTAAACCTTGCAGGTTTGCCTGGCTGCTTGTACCATTTCCTGAGTTTTCTAGAAGTCTGGCAATCATTTTGCAGAGTACTCTCTAAGGTCTTTCCAGATTGCCCATAAATCATGAGCCATCCAATGACCACTGATCTACAGGATCTAGAGATGCTCAAAATGTACAAAATTAATTGCACATTCTTCAGATTTAGAGTTCAGTAGGGTGTGATTCAGCCTAGTTATGGGACAGTGCTCAGCAACACTTACCTAGAGCAGTCATGTCCAGTCCATGATGAGGGACAATAGCACCGATTTGGTCGTATGCACTTCCCACCATTTAAGCAAGGCAACTGGCAAACAGCTGCACAGAAATACATACACACACTGAGTTGCATCAATGAGCACACCGACAGCAAGCTAGTTAAGGAATAGGGCACTGAAAATCCAGCCTGCATTATTGTGTTAAGAATGGACTACTCTCAAAACTACAGCATTAAACATCAGCTGTGAGTCTGTTGTAAAAGATGGTTTGCTCTAGAAAGGGCAATTTAGCAGCACATCTCTGCTGAATGTGATTTGACCCTCTCTACTGCTTTTGCTATCTGCTGCAGTGTATGAGCTGCATGAGACAGCCAGTGTATTATTGTACGTTGCCTTAAAAAGTCTGTTCTTTTTGCTTCAAGCTGAGGCAAAAAAAGGAATGCAAGTGGAAGCAGGAGGAGGAACTAGGAGAGTCAGAAGATCAACAGGAGAATAGGCCATATTTTTAAGAAGAAAATGTGGGTGTTTATTTGAAAGGAATGTGACGGCTAAACAGTAGCCAGGACGAACAGACACCCAATGTGGTAAAAAAGTATAGAAAGAGGCAGCCTAAATAGAGGGAGTTAAAGGTCAGAAAGCCATTTACAGATCAACAGCAGGCAAGGAGTAAGGCTTCACACAATGGCACCTGTGTGGAGACAAGGAAAGGAAGCAGAGAATGACAGTAAGTTCCTGAAAGACACTGGATAGCCATAAGAGATGTGAGTAGGTGGTAGAAGGCATTTGAATTAGAGAACAAACACTAGCCTGCCTGATAGGGTCATGCTGGACCAGCTGTGAAATGGCTGCACCTGCTTTTGTGTGACAGCCTAGCCCAAGGATATCAAGTACCCAAACAAAAGTCAAAGCTTCAAGTCTTCCTATCAATGTTGAGACTGGAAGATAAAGCGCCATACATTTACAGAACAGACTTAGAGACTCACTTAATGAGGTCCTTCAAATGCAGACATTTATATCGCAGGAAAGCTGAAAGACATGAAGTCTTTTAAGCAGATAATGCCATATCTAGAGGACAAACCTAAAGATACCAGTGAGGACAAATGCTGGGTAATATTTTTTGCAAGGAATATGCATCAGAAAACACTGATTAAAATGGAATTACAGGAAATGGAAATGAGTAATCACAGGAATGCAAAAGAAGATGGAAACACACTACTCCGATTCCTCTGGGCCAAACATGAACAAACAATGGCAGGAGGTTATAGAGATGGACCAAACCTGTGCAATTAAGTGCACCAAGTTTGTCATGTTGAAAATGACTTCTGATTCTGGAATGAAGCATATGAATGAAACATCTTTAGCTCTCACTTTATGCACATAATTATTCCTGTGAGACCAGCAGTTAATCCAAATATTTCTCATTTCACTTTGCTCTGTCATGGCAAAAGGTCGAGACCAGTAAGTAAAATGAGAAATGGTTTAGTAACTTCATAAGTAGTGGTTATGAGCTTTTATGAATGGGCTTTGGCACAGATGCAGTTGCTCACTAGAATTTTCTTTAGCTACCAAAAAGCAGGGCAGCCTGAACAGATTTGAATTGCTGGCCCAGTAGTGAAAAAGCCATCTATCCTCCTGAACCACCTATGCCGTTATAGCTGCAAAGTTTGTGAAATATGAGAGGAAATGATGCATTATGTGCTAGGTAAGTGTCCCTTCAAAAGACAGTAGTTCTGAGTTAAAATGTTCACTCTGGAATTTCAATTTGCTGAAGAATGGTTGGTTTGCAGTGTATCACACAGCTTATCCCCCATTCTCACTATTCTTATCAGTCGAAAAAATAATATGAACATTCATTAACAAAAGCACAAATTCCTCCTCCAGTTCACCCAATAAGCCACTCCAAAGTCTTGCAGGAAGGCAAAACTGCGCTTTCATGTTAAGGCCCTGTTAACAATCAGTTAAGGTGCACCTGGACAATAAAAATACAGTGAGCAAACTGTAAAGTACTTTTTAAAAAATTAACATTTATTAGCAATTGAGATTTAATAATGATTGAGAGACATTTCAATGATCACTCAATTGCTATGAGTTTTACTGCCTATTTCCACAGGGACAAGCCTTTCAAAAACTGACATTTGTCTAGTCCCGACGTGGAACCATATATCCCAAACTTGGGTTCAAATATTATCCCTAATAGCAAATCAGCCTCATCTGACACAAGCTGACTTGCCAGGACACAGGTCTGGAGCCTAGAATCACTCCCCTCACTATTTTGGTGTGCTACATGCCCTTCAGCCTTGGTTAGGTGCAAGTAAGAGATCTAGTAAAATGCAGTGCATGTTAAATTTGTTCACAGAACTTAGATGATACCTAATATAAGGTACGCATGTACCATGTACATGGTACCTTACATGGGTACCACATACCCATTAAACTCAACCATCCTTAAACAAATCCTTGCTTTGCTCTTCCCTCTTGCCTAGCTCAGAACTCAGGCAGTAAGTGATAATCCCCCAAACCAGACAGCTATGTGGTGAAAAACCTCTGTAGTACCTGCAGCTTGTTTGTGAGTTTAATGGTGACCTGCATGTGCCAAAGATGAAAATGAAATTCTAACTCTTCTTGGAATGGACAGTCTAGTTTTATTCTTCTCTTTAGAAATCCTCTTTCCTCTGTGCTGGTTTTCTAAGGATTTTAAAGACTCATCAGGGACTACTCCAAAAATAGTTTACAGCTGGGGACAGCAAATCCTCCAGGAATATTACTGCAGGCCTGGGTTTTCCTATGAGAAGCTTAGTAGTTTTACAGTCATTCGTGAACTGTGCTAGGTGTTGATAGGGGAGTCACAAAAAATGAGAAAAAAATGCAGGTGAAAAGAGTTTTACCCATATGGCAGCGTGATCCAGTCCATCCAGGGGGGCAGTCACACTGGTAAGGGGCCACACAGCGACCTCCATTGAGACATGGCAGAATGCATATGGCTAAGGAGGGGAGAAGAGAAACAGTGAAAAGAATTATCTCCCATGAAAGCAAAGAATAAAGTGTGCAAGAAAAGAACTTATGTTTAATTAGAAACTCTACTACCCCTTGTAGTGTTTGCATGCAGTATCAGCAGAGTTGAGTAGGATCTATCCACAAGGCATGAGCAGCAAATACAACTGGCATGGCATACAGAAATGAGGACAAATGATGACAAACAAATGGACAGACTGGAGCAATTGCTAGAGTCCTTCAGATGCCTGTAGGCTCTGTGCTCACTGGAAATGAACAGGGCTGTTTGCTTGTTTCTCATATGTAATATTCATAGACACTGTCCACTTCTATGACAGTGGCTAGCAAAATCAGTTCATGCTTTAATTACAAACAACTGGATTGCTCGTGGATTCCCTGGGGTCCCACAATGTAACATCCAAAAAAAGTTAATCTATGCCCTGCCCATAGAAAAGCGTTTGGTTTGGGCCAGTGAAAACATGCTGAGACAGATGACACCACAAGCCCCCCATGGAAAAACAGCTTTTGGGTACAACAGGTTGACTGTGGCTGGAAGCTTTGGGGAAGAAACAAAGCAGGTATCAAGCATCTGATGGCCTGAGCACCAGTCAAGCCATGCTGCTCCTGTGAGCAGATCTGCAAAATTGTCCAATGTGCACACTGTACATGACTTAAGTACCTTCACAAAACTACCATCTCCGCTACCCTAACTGAATGAACTACTTGTGTGAACATGCTCTAATAAGAGCAAGAGTTGAGCTGAGTCTCAAATTTGGACCCTTGAGTGGCACTTCCAGTGGAGTTTTATACTGGGAGGGTGGATGGGGGCTGCAGAGGATTGATGCAGAGGTTCTTCCTCTCCTGCTGCACAGCAGAGGTCAAGCTGAGCAGGTGCAGTCAGCCTGCATAAGAAAAGAATAGTGAACTTCCACTGAGCTCACAGGACTAACCCATATCACCAAGAATTACTTGTCTGTATCATTAGACTAGTAGTGCTCTGCATGTTTTTTTAGAGTGGCCAGGCCTCTCTCAGAAAGATGAATCTATCTTGTTATCTGTGAAATGTACTGTGAACTACAAGGTGACTGAATTCTGTCAGAGCTCTGTGGCCTCACCTGTGGCCTGATCCTGATCAGTGTTCAGTGCTAGCACTCAGAAATCCCTTTAACTTCCAGAACCAGCCCTGCACTCCAAAGACTAAACCTATTTTTTCTGTTCACCGGTGCACCTTGCTTGACAAGCAAGGTGGCACTAACCAATTGTGGGAATACTTTTCACCTCTCCTCACTACCTGTGCCAAAGTGCAAAAAACAAACAAAAAAAAAGAGAGCTAGTGCCTGTATCTGCATGAAGTGCGATCTGGCTAGTCAGCTGTCTGCTCATTTTTCTCATACAGGAAAACAGGATCTGAATTGGGATGACAGATCAAAATGACTGGGGGCATAAAATTTGTCCTCTGGTCCTGAAGATTGCGTTAAATATCATCACTAATGGTAAGGTAAGGAAATCAATTGTGGCATACCAAACACAATTCTGCCAGACACAGGGCTGAGCCCTCTTCTGCTGAAACTGTGAAACATACAGGGCTGAATTTGCATGTCTGGCTATGGTGGTACTGACGGACACAGACAGGGGCAGCAAAAGAGGGGATGTGTGAATGCACCACATAGCTGGAGTTTCTGTAAATGCAGAAGGACAAAACTTGCTGAACCTCTTCTCCTCATTCTGGATCTACAGCTAATTTGTGCCGTGTGGAACTGACAATGCCACAGAGAAGACTTGAAAGCTGCAGAGGTAGATTCAGAGGACCATTTTAAGATGTGATACATCTACCTAGGAAAATGCTTGAGCAACATTCCTCTCCATGAAATACAGGAGGAGGTGCCACATCTTTTTGTAGGTCTCCATGTATACTCAGAGCCATGGACAGTGATACCACCTCAGCTGCAGGTGTTCTTGGACACGCTAAAGCTTTAAGTCAGGGCCATACTGAGTGCTAAATACAGTAAGGGCACGTTCCTTTTTGATCCACATAGACCCATGCCTAACTATGTGTACAGTAATAAGGCTTCTTGTGTAGCTGCTACACCAGCATGAAAGGGTTAGCCCTTGCAAATCCCTTGTGCTAAGATCATCATGAAGAAAATGGGAAACATGGCACAAACTGGCATCCCCAATGTCACCCAGGGAATCTCTGACAGACCCAAGAGTCAGATCTGGCTTTTTTCAACCAGAACAGATCCAGTTCTCTAACTATTCAGAGATCCAGGCTAGGAAAAGCCAACCCAAGATTTGTGAGGTACAGGTACACAGGTCAGGAAGGACAGCATGGAAAAGGTGACACAGCTGTATTATTTGAACATGAATTGATCAGGTTCATAATCACAGACTGATAAAATGGAAGCTGAGAAACAAATGCAGCCACCAGCAGAACACTCACATCTCTTCTAACCCCTGTTCTTTCCCCAAAACTATCATGTATTGCTATTAGAAATAGACTTTGGAGAACTGAAGCAGGCTGTCCTTCAACCTTAGTGAAAGAGCACCCACAAACAAAATTGCATCAAAGTGCTTGTTTTGGTTTGGAGATGTCAGGGGATGGTCGTTTATCTACAAACAAGCAATTGGTTGGTCCTTTCTGTTCTCTTTAACTCATCAAGCAGAATAAAGTAATGATTTTTATGTTTTTAGCTCTTATGCCTTTAATTTTCCCACCCAGTTCACTGCAATAAATTCACTTGTCTTACCTACAACATCCTTAAAATTACACTTAGGGATGATATACATACGCTCTTCACAGAGACGACCCATCCAGCCATCTGGACATGAGCAGGCATTTGGTCGCTCACAGATGCCACCGTTCTGACATGGGAACCGACAGACAGCTGAAAACAATACAATTTCATTACAAACTCAAGACGGTTAATTAGAAGCTTAGTAATTCAGCATCTTGCACAGATATTTGCAGTTGTAAAGTTTAGAGTAGAACAAACAAATGTAGTGAAGTTCAGAAACATGACTTTGATTTAGAGGGCTACATTGTTTTCTGGCTCTGTGTTTCTGACTAGGTACTGTAAGCAAGAGTGTGGGAACTGTTAAGACCATCAAAAATTCTTGATGGCAAGAATGAAAACTTAGAAGTTTTTAGCATAGTTGGGCAAATTATTTGGACATTGTTTCAAGGCTGACCTATGCTTTACCTGCTTTTCCCCACTCATTTTTGTAAAACAAAACAAAAAACAGTACCCCAAACAAAAACTATTACCCTTTTTTTTTTCTCTTCTAAATTAACTCTAAAATAAAATCAAGCTTTCTTCTAACATTGGTATGAAACACCAACATAATGCTGTCTGGTATAATATAGGGTTTGTTGAAAGTAAGATTAAACACTGTGGTAGAACAAGCAATTTTTATTGCACTATCATCCGGTGTAATGAGGAGTGACCAACAAGGGTGCAGCAGTGGCACAGTGAAGTGTTTACCTGTGGAACCCAAAGTGTGATTATAAACCTCACTTAGCATTCATACTGACTGGTGCTCCTTGGCTTACATACCTGTTAATAAGCACCTGATCATAAAAGTGAGGAATTTGAAGTGGACTCTATCATGCTAGCCCAGTATGTTGCCTGGACTGGACAGGCTTTGGACTTCATCATCGTTTCTATGACACTGCACCATATGCTGGCTAATATATTCAGGGAAACCAGGACTATTTTATAAAATCAGGTGGCAAGCTAAGTACAAACATATTAGACTTAAAGATCATTGGAGGAAGTACAATCCTTGTCATGTTGGTGTACACACTATATACAGAAGATAAAAAATTGTGGCTTTGAGATGATACTACAGAACAAATAAGTAATCAGACTAACTTTAATTAGTGGTAGTTATGAACACAGAGTAACCTCAGGAAACTCAGCATGAACTATTAATTGCGTCCTATCTTTAATTAGTTACTAGGTGAACAAAACATGAGTTTAGGCTTTGAGCATTTCAGATCTTGTTCAATGTTAGTATTAAATACAAACAGTGGCTTAGCACACTGAAACACTGTTCAGACCTGAGATCCACATTAGAAAGAATGCAAATCTTTCCCTGATAGAGCTAAACTTGAGTCACTCTTGCAACTAAGCCATACCAAGCTGCAAGCTACAGCTTGGGGTCTCTTGAAATGAGGCAAAAGCTTTTGCCATTTTATTTTTCAATCTCAAGAGCCTTCCCATCAAATGCCAGCTGATAATGAGAATGGGAAGACACCTTAGGCCCTGGCAGGTTCACAGAAGTTGCAGTATTTTAATGGGCATTTTGAACAATTTTTGTTGTAAAGATATCTATGACTATGCAGACAGCTTGTCTTTGGGTGTTGACTAAAGTAGAATAGTGCGCCAACCAGATTTCCTTTGTGCAATGAAAAATTACGAAAGTTGAATCAAAAAGCATTTAAAGCTTTGTGTGATCCACACCACTTAAACGATATCCAATGAATGTATAATGGAATTGGAGGTAAAAAGTTTGTGTATAAATGATATCCATGTTAAACTCAAAGCCCACGAAAAATGGTCTCTGAAATGTATTTTCTCTCCATCAATGGAGAAGATGTGAGTATTTAATGAGTTACAGAAATCACTTTGGATGGCAACTCCATCCCGCTCAGTGATTCAGGATCTCAGACAGAGATAGGCTTTTCCTGCATTTCTGCCCAGGCCCTGGTTGTGAAACTGAAATGACTAAGACAGTATCATCCCTAGGTGTGCACTTGTTACACACCAATTTAGGCAATTCAGGCAGGCAGAGACTCTGTGTCTGTAGCTGTGGGGATTATTCTTCACTTGACAGACAAGACTAGAGAAGGCTTGGGGCGGGAAGTTAAGCTGAGATCTCATTCTCTTTTTTTTCTATTGTAGAAGCAAGCAAATGCAGTCCTGCTGTGCTGGGGAGAGAATGGGAACCATTAACTGTGACTTCAGTTAGTTGTAGCAGATCTCACATTCATGGTATCAATCTTAATCTTTGAGATCCTCTTGTAAATCCATGCCTCAGAGTTACCTCCACAGGACACAAAAGCTTTACACTGCTGCAAGACAGACGTGGGTAAGAAGGGGAAAAATAATTTCTGATACCTGTTCTCAGCTTTGCCAAAAAGCTTTCCTGCGGTGGCAAGTGAACAATTTCCTCCATGCCTCAGCTGCCCTCTCATAATGCTTGTTTGCTGATGGGGTATGAACTTTTTGGTCAGCAGCTCCACACTGACCACTGTCAGTCAGCAAGATGTGGGCAGAGGGCAAATAGACAACACAGATTGTAGAGCATTTCAGAGAAGATTGGAGTCAGACAAGCTGTGTGCATTTGTGCAGTCTGCCGAGTCCAGCAGGTGTTTATGATTGGCAGACCCAGACTAATACTTCTCACCCCTGAAACTCAGATCAGAATCTGGCCTGCAACCTCCAACCAGCAGTGATTCAGGCAAGTGCAGCTGTGGTGAGAGCTCTCCCAAAGAAGCTAACGAAGTCTGCTTTTTAATTATAATATTTACGTTAACTAACCTGTTCAACCGGGCCAGAACATTTCAGGCAGGCTTAGGACACATTAATAATCAACTCACACAGCCAAAAACAAGAAATGCAGCATGAGTCATTTCAAAGAGTACTTTCATGCCGCTTCTGATGTAGCCCACAAAGGCTTGGGTCCTGTAGGCCTTTTGTTAGGCAAATCCCTCAAATGAATTAGAAAGCAGTTTTGAAAGATTATTTTGATATGTGTCAGGAAAACACAGGTCGGTCCTCTCAGAAACGTCTTTGGTCCTTTTTAGTTCCCCTTTTAGGTGAAAAGAGGGGGGCAAATTGTTATTCCTTTCCCTTAATATGCCAGAAGGCAGGTTATTCTGCTTTGTTTTCCTGCACTACACTCTGATCATCTGTCCACCTCATCACTTTGTTTTTTGAAATAACTTTCCCTAATACTTATACCTCTGAACAGCCCCAGTAGACTCCATCGTGATGCAAACAGGACACGTTTGACAGTGCTTTGCATATCAGCCTTTCCAGGTTGCTAGTAACCAGTGGCAAGAACCTCTCAGCAGAAAACTACAGCCCTTGGCATAAAGGAGGGTACTGTGTAACTAATAAATATTAAATAAGAATACAAAGTAAAGCTGGAGATATTAAAGGGGCAGTTGAAGAATCCAAAGTGTTACAGTCTGAAGAGGTAATATCCAAATAATGAATTCCAATGAATTCTAGCTTAGGTAGACTAGCTATTATGCAGAGATCCCTTGAATTCTGTAGCCACCACAGTTTAGAAAGAAATGATGAGATACTTGACAAACTTTTCAGAAAGGGCTCGGTGCTTTGGGAGTGTAAATTTCTAACAGGACTTTTGGATACCTCTTGACATCTAAGTAACTCAGGTGCTTTTACTGTATATCTTCTCTACTTGTCTGCTCGACAGGTGATTCTTCATGGCAATGGCAAGCCATGGTCACATAACCAGGAGAAACCTGTTTTTCAGGAGCAGCTTCTCTATTCCTGAAATGTTCAGGAGTTACTAGCCCCCTTCTTGGCTCTGGGTCTCCTCAGAATGATCTACTGATCTGTGATTTTTAGGCAAGGCAATTATAACTATAGATAAAATATTTTAACAGAGTGCCTGCTTTCATAGAGTAGGGCAACTCAGCTTGTCTAGGTCTTTACATTCATAATATTTTGCTGACAAAATTCATACAAAGAAACTGATGAGGGGACCCTCATTAGTCAGGCTTAGCACAGTATAGAATCCTCCATCTCCAAAGGGCTTCTGACCTAAACAGAAAATCACCAGGGAGGGAGGCAGTATCGTTGCTTCCATTTTTGACACAGGGAGCTGAGACTTGCAGGAGGAGAGGCAGACCTGACGACTTTGATGATGGCTCTAATGTTCCCAGATGAGTGTTCTGGCACCTTTCCTGTTCTGTAGAAGTTCTCAAGCATAGGGAATGGGGCTGCTTGTGACTGGCCACTGATGTGCTCTAAGGTTTTTGCTTTTAATACTCACATTTCTAAACAAAATACCTAAGGCTCACCTTGTAGTATGGCTACTGTTACCTCATCTGAGATAAAACTTCAAGGTGCAGCTAACTCACTGTTCTATAGCTACCCTGTAGCAGAAGGCTAGTCAAGCTTCTGATATGGAAATGGCAGATAGCAAGGTCTCTTCCATCAAAGCCCTGTGACCCTGGAATTCTTTTGTTATGCCTCATCCTTGGTTTTCAGTTAGTGTTTGAAGATGCTTGTATCTGTTTTTAACTGTTTCGTTTATCATCTCTTCTATGTGTTTTGTTGGTTTTCCCCATTTTCTGTTAAAAACTTCTTATTTATTTGAATCCTCTCTGTGGAACAGGTAATTCTGTAATTTAAACAAGTGAATTTTTTAGCTCAACAAACCAAAAAGTGACATTTTCCTGCTGGTATGCCAAGGGTGGAAAGGCTAGACTTTGTCTCTGGTATTTTGTTAAACCCATGAATTTTCCGCAGTACTTAGTGTGTATCATTTAGTGAACTGTATCAACCTATCCTTACGTACTTTATTGCAACACAATTTTCAGGAGCTGCCCAGCTCTAAACACAGTGAGAGACTAAGCATCCATTGATCTCTTACTTTTGTTTTCTGCAGTGCTTGATCTTTGACTGTGAAAAGCTGACTGGCAGTGCTTACGTAAAACAGCTCAGCATGTCAGAAAGGACAGGTTCTGTCACTTTCTCACAAAAGATGTGAGTAGAAAGGATCTTAGGTGTGGGATACAACTGTGTAGCAAAAAACCCTGTAAGATTAGGAAGGACTAAAGAGAAAAATTGTGGAAGCCCTCTCTGTCACTTGGAAATAAAGCAACACCCTGCACTTTAAATGCCCCGGGTGAAACCATGACTGCACTGAAACTAGCAAAAATTTTGTTTTCCTTTTTATTGCAGCTAGGATGACACCTCCGTGCTTATGGCAAGTTAAGATATGCTTCTGTTCATAAAAAAGACTTACCTTTGCAGGTAGGTGGTGTTGTCCATGTTCCATTTTCTAAGCAAATGCTCCGCAGGGGCCCCTCCAGCATGTACCCACTGTAGCATGAATAGGTGATCACATCTCCATACTGATAGAAGCTACCACGAATCAGAGCATTCTCTGTGTGAGCTGGGGGGCCACAAGATATCTCTAAACAAAAGAAATCACCCAGAGGCTGGTGAGTTGCAATGCCTACATGACAGAGTTTCTAACCCTGGACTCAGTGCTTTGCACAAAGGACCTGGGAGGTGCCAGAGAGACACCTCTGATGGGAAATCAGTAAGTAAGACTTCTTCATGGTGCAGACACAGGGAGAACCTGTATGTACACCCAGTGAGCAGGGAGCTGGCGAGGAACAGAAGTTTTACGTCATGCAACAATGGCTATATCCACCATACAGACCAGAAACTTTCAGATCGTCCCAGGATATACATGAGACTGGGTTTAAAGAGTGAGGTGATGTCATTGAACTAAACAATATTGCTTGCAAGAAGCCAAAAACCTTTCAGATGTACCTGCAAAAGGACACTATGCCTTCTGTCAATGTCAATAAATAAAATAAAAGGCAGCACCTCTCCCTACAACCCTTGTGTCATCACCCATAATCTCACAGGAATCATTCTCAGGATATTTAGGGTATCCAACAACCAATCCCAGCTTCAGTGCTTGCAAAAGGTAAATTGAGAAGCAAATTACAATAGGACCCAGTAGACAGTAGGAAGAATGCTCTTGGGGCATCAATCCACATAGACATATTCTGGATCCTTTTAAAGAAACAACTCGGTTAGAAAGAAAGAAGAAATAGCTCTTCTGTAGAACTTCTTAGGTTGCTTTTATGTGCCTGGATCTCTTGGAGTGATCCACCTCTCCAAATGACAAAGCAGACAAAAGCTCTCTTCTTCCAGAATAACTGCACCTAGGTGGAGACCTCTACTAACTTGTCTGTGCTGTCACGCTCCTGTGTGACAGCTGTGGTCACCAGCCCTCTGGGAAGTACCAAGCCCCTGCGGAAATGTACCTCACGTACTTACTTTCACACTTAGCTGTTGCTGGAGTCCAGGTCTCATCAGGGTTACAGGTGATCACAGACTGCCCTTTCAGCTGGTAGCCTTCCCTACCCCTGATGGATACGGTTTGACCAACATAAAAATCCACCTCAGACAGAAGGGCATTCTCTGGGATTATGAAAGGCACAGGACAAGGGTTTGCTGTTCAAAGAAAGGGTGTGAGGGAAAAGGAGAAGGGAGAAAAAAGGGATGGAAGGAAGGAAGAGAATACTTTAGAATAGTTTCTGCAAATTTCAAAATCAAATTGTATGAAAAGCAACAGAAATGGATGCTGCACATGAGCCCAATTTGTAATTTGATGTAAAGTTATGAGATTTGGGTCATAAAATAATAATAAAAGATTTGATTCTCTGCTGTCACATGGCTTGCTACCATACGCTACTGATGCCAGTAGAAGACATACTAAGGATTTAAGTGGGGAATATCCTACTTGTTACTATCAAACCATCTTGCCCTTCCTGTTTACTGTAACCTTACTATAAAAAAAAGCCAGACCTATCCTACTTCTTGTTCTGAGGGGCTGGACCAATAAAGTGCAGCAAAATCCAGGTGTGCGAGCAGATTTACAATAACATTCATTAGAGTTTAGAATTTCTCTGATAATCTTATTTATTGCTGGCTGTAGGCTTGCTGAGCTATTTTCTCATGGTCTATTGCTCTCATCATGAATGTGGAAAAGGCTGGACTCTATACACAGCAGAGACTGAAGCCAGTTTCCTGAAACTAAAATCCTGTGAGTCCTTTGCGATATAAAAGTTAAATGTCTCAATTAACCACCCTAAGACTACAGTAGATGTTAAAATTACAGACACATACAGCAACAAGGAAGGCTATTGTGGGTGTGTGTGCTCAGCATGCATGTGCGTAAGGTGGTATTTCACAGAATTACAGAATAATTTATACAGCCATTAAGTCCAACCTCCTTCTCAGAGCAGGGCCAACTAGGTCAGAGGTTGCTGTGGGACTTGACCAGCTGATATTTGACTATCTCCAAGGATGGAGATTTCATGTCCTTTCTGGGTCCCTGTTCCTGTGTTTGACTGCTATGATGGTGAAAAGTTTCTTCAAATACTTAACTGGAATTTCCTTTCTTGCAACTTGTGTCCATTGCCTCTCATCCCACTAGTGTGCACCTCTGAGAAGAGTCTGGCACTTTTTTCTTTACACCCTCCCAATAATCAATTGTAGACAACAATAAAGTCTCCCTTTTGCCTTCTCCTCCAAACTTTTCTTTCACCTGCTCCTCATATATCAAGTGGTTGACTACAATTGACTCCGTTTTGTGCCAGCTTTCCAACTAAAGGGAGCTATGCAGAATACAGCTTGTTCTTTTACTGTCACAAAAATACACTCAGACAAGTTAATGCTTTAACATGTCTCAGTAACTGCTCCCTTTTTTGCTCTGTAAAAATGGGATGCACACCAACAAATCTCCCAACATAGGCCAAACCAATTTTTTAAACTACAAGTGACAAATTCTGCTCATGGTCACTCCAGAAGACAATTACAGTACATTTCCACAAAGATCTGCAGAAGTTGCTCTCGTTTACTGTCAGTTTAAAAGAAGAGCAGCCTAGCCTTTAGTGCTTACAAATTGAGACTACTTTTCACTACAAACCAAACACACACGTTTACAGAGAGGCAAGGGATTACTCCATGTTCCATCTCTTGTACACTCTGCCACAGGTTCCCCTTCCAAGCTGTATCCCGTCTCGCAGAAATATGCTATTGTACTGCCAACTGTATTGTTTTCGTAAATCGCCTTCCCATTCAGCAAGGAAACTGGAACTTTGCATCTGGTCTCTGCAAAGGAAGAGCTCTCATTAATTCAGCTTGATATTAGACCTGGATCTCCAACAATTCCTGAATTACTCACACAGTATGTTTAAAGTAGCAGCCACAGACTAATTAATCATGAAGAGCACTGATGGAGAGTTCAGTAGCCCTGGGAAAGAAATGTAGCCAAGCTAGGGAAGGAGCTCCTCCCAGTGATGGAAAAGAGCCACAGCCACGTTTTTCAGGTCAGCAAAATGTGGCAGTGCTGGGGAGGAGAGGACACATTTATGACTTCATACTGGGGTCAGTGGGGCAGAACATGGAAATTGTTCTTTGTTGCCACTGAGAGATACCCCAGCCCTTTGTGCTCTCCTTTTCACCTGACAAGAAATACCAGATGAGAGGCAGGATGGGTTCGGTGCAAGATGCCAACACTTATATTACTAATTCCTCCCATCAAGATTCTCAGCTGTGTTTCTGAAGCCAGCAGGCAGACAGTCCAAGCTGGGTTATGACTGCTACACAAGAGACTCTGTTCTGTGTCCCATTTTCCACTTCATTTTGGTGGTCTGTGTAATGAGATGACTGAAGATTAAACTATCAGACAGTCACAAGGCTGTCAGGCAAGAGGAAGAGTGGAGTTGGTGAAGTGGCTGTGCTCAACCTTGTTCAAGATGGCCTTCTTGACATCTGTTCAGCATTGCTAGTGTGTAACTTTTCTTAGGTGCCTGGCTAGGTACTAGAGACCTCCTCTCTGATGTGGATGTCCCCTGTCAGCTTTCCAGGTTGCTACTATAAGGTCTGCAAAGCATTAGGGCACTGCAGTGCACAGTGATCTGTGCGTTGTGTGGTTGCCCAACACTGCATCTGATGGTCCTTTGCCCTCATGCAGTTTTTATGGCTCTGGTGACGGGAATCTAATACCTGCCTTGAGTGGAAGATCATTATCTGTCTTACTTCAGTGAGGAGTGTGGAGGTTAAAGGCTGAGCTGTTGAGACTGTCCTTGGGGCCCAAAGTTCAGAAAAAGAATATCAACTTAATAATTGACTACAAAAGGCCACTGGGAGAAAAGTCACTTGTCCTTGCAGTCCATCACCTTTTGTTAGGGGTTTGATTTTCGGAGATGGCAAGTAAGTTCATCTCTCATTAAGCTTGTTAAACTGCAGATTAAAACCTTAGGAAAAACGATGTCTCAGCTCTTTCTGGCTTAGTAACATGCAGTGCTCCTTGTGACACATTTCATTTTTCAGGCACCATTTTTAATACACATTGCAGAACTGTTTCCTGAAAGCAGCTCAGTCCCTGGATCATATGATATGCATGCATAAGAAAGGAGCTATTGCTTATCCCAGACTGGAATGTGCCACGCCATGAAACCAAACAGTTACCTTCACACAACGGCAAGGGTTTACTCCAGCTCCCATTGGCAAGACATGTGATATTCTGGGGCCCAACAAGATGGTATCCAGAGTTGCACACAAAGGTTACATTACTTCTGTATGTGCTTCCCGTAGAAATGGCCTCTGCTTTTTCTATTGAGGGATGCAGCCCACAAGTAATTCCTAGGAGAGGAGAAAAATTTTTGGTTTTATACACACAATGAAGGCCATTCTGTCTATCTGTTACACGCTGTCTGACAGCTCTGTTCACACACTGAATTAATAGAGAGATGGGAAGAAAGAAGCTGTGAAGTATTATATGGAGAAGGGTGATACAGTGCCTTGCCTGCCCCCTCTCCTGGGATTCAGGCTGCAGACACCTGAGAGAGAATGTGCCCAAATGTATCTGATGGTGGTGTAAGCTATGAGGTGTGTTCACAGTGATCCAGAATATTTCTTCTGAGCTGGCCAGAGGCCGCATTTGCAGTCTCCTTTGCTTCCTGTACAGTGGAAGGTGATCTCAAGATGTCCCCAAGAAAAACGCCAGTAGTTAAGAAGGATCTTACCTCCTGTCCCACACTTACTGTGGAGACCAGGCAAATTGGTCAAAGGTGAGAGAGAAGAATGCAAGGGGTAGGACTATGACATCGCCATGAGGAGACTGGAAATGATTTATTGGTAAAGACTATAAAATCTTGGCATTTTATTTATAAGCAATATGAAATAAGTCATAAATCCTTCTTTCCATGCTCCCACAATTAATCACCTTCTGCTGCACAGAAAGCCAAGATTTCATCCTAGGGAGCAGAGTCTTGATCTCCAGACATACAGAGTACAGAGTGGCCAGCATATATTAGCCTTGGCATGGCAGAGACGAACCATCCCAGCACATGACGTCCAAGGCCCTGCACACCACAATGCAAGGCAAATCAAATACAGCAGGCCACACTCCTCCCCTACTGACCTGAGCATGACTCTATGCTTGTGCCATTTTAATGTGCCAAAAGGAGATCCCTTCAGATCAGAGAGGAACTGCCAATGAGAACTTCTCTGCTGGCTTTTCCTCTGGCTCCTCCTGTTACAGCCCTCCAGTTGGAGGGGGAGGCTGGAAGGAAGCCAGCAAAAGCACTTGCTCAGTTTGTTCCCTGGCTGTCCTGGAAAACTGCCACCATGTTGCTCTGCTTGCTACTTACGCATGCATGAAGGGGTGGAGGGGCTCCACTTTTTGCCAACATGGCAAATCCTTCGGCTTGGTCCCTGTAGCTCAAAGCCAGGGTCACAGCTGTAAAAAACCTCACTGCCAAAGAGGAACTCTTCTCCCTGAACAGATCCATGTTCTATCATGTCCGGGGGTCCACATGATACTCCTATAACACAAGGAATATGTTCCAATCAGATATAATGCATATGGCCTGTCCTGTTCACAGCTCCTCCACAGGTTTTACTCTGACAGGGAAAGAACACAGTGTTTATCTGGGCATTCCCAGACATTTGCCCCTGAGCAGCAGAACAGTAGCATGCTTGGTGCTTCCAGTTCCTGCTAAAAGACCAAATCCATTGCATCTGTGCTGGCAGGAAGCCTCAGGAAATTCCACTGGTGCCACCTAAAGCCTACAGCTGAGGTCCACATAAGTATTTATGTAGACAATTTCTATTTTGGCACTGCAGTCAGTGGGCATCAGGCATCTCATAGAAGTGAAGTACCTTTGAGAATGAGTATCCATACAGTTAAATTTGAGGATGCTAAGTACCTGCAACTCCTGGCAACTAACGTGTTCAGAGGTCCTCAGAAATCATGACCTTAAGTGTCAGAACTATTTAAACTTGGAAGCTGTCTGTACAGCTTTCTTAGGAATACAGAAGCAAGGCAGAAAGGTCTAGTGATTTCCTTCACACTACTACCTGTAGACACCACCAATTCTGCAACTCTTCCAGGCTTTTATCAGTGGTACTTACCAAAATTTTTAGGCAAATGCAGACAGTATGAGTTATTAAGCAACACGAGCATTAGTGTTTTCTGTTGTGTAAAATCACCCTTGACCAAAATTAAGTGGTAAACTAAGGTGGAACATACTTCTGCACGCTGGCACTGTGCCACTCCAGAGTGTGTCTTCTTGGCAAGTCCGTTCTGCATCACCCTGTGAAACAAAAGAAAAGGCTCAAAGAACAGCTTTACTTGGTTAACTCTTTTCTCCCATCAACTTTAGTATCCAGCAAGGCCAGGGCGTATTCCCCCCATGTGCAACCCATGTAAAAAGATAGTTGAATGCTACAGCCCAAGTCTACTAGCAGAGTTTAGGGTAGAACTCCTACCTGCACAGTGATGGGTATTGTTTATAAACCAAAATTTTGTGGGCACAGTTAGTTCTCTTGTCCTTCTCCCTGGAGTATCATCTTTCTTGTCAGTTTTACCATTCTTGTTCCCACAAATGTGTTATGAGGACAAATTTTCTCCTTCCAGGACTCACAGACAATCTAACTTTTTTTCAGCAACAGTACAAGCTTGCGTTTTATAAATGTAAGGTACTGATTTTGACCACATCCCAAACATTCATTCCTTAAATTTCCTTACAAATAACGTTATTTCTTTCTTACATACAGGCTTTCTAGCCAGTCTAATAGCCCAGGATTTATTTCTTATTTTATTCCAAGACATGGAGAACAACATCTAAATTTGTCCTTTGAAGTAATGTACTTTCATTACAAAGCAAACCCATTGATAAGGGCAGCTGTTTAACATGAGTGTTATACAGCATCACACCCAACGGACTTTGCCTCCCAAAAGAAAAAAAGCAGGACTTCTCTTTAACAGGAGAGAGACAGATTGATGCTAGGTGGTGAAGCTGGAATACAAAGCTTGGAAGGACTTTTTACTGTATGAAAGCACTGGCTTATTACCTCCAAAAATTACTTGAAACAGCAATTCTACCTGTCTGTCTAAACACCAACCTACCCCTCCATGCCCAGTGATATTACATATGTGGCAACATAATGCAAATTAAATTTATTGTTACCTAGGTATTCTCTAAACTCTCCTTATTTTTATATTGAGTGACTGAGTGAATTCACTCCTGACTGGGTGTATTCACATGCATGAAGTTCTTAATTTATTACTAGTGTTATGACAGCACAAAGGAAGCACAGTCCTGCATTCTACTTGGTACTCAAAAAACACGGTGTTAAGAGCCAGGCTCTGTTCTGGAGACACCTCACCACCTCATGCCTCTGGACACAACTGTGCCCTACTCTGCCACCACCTGGGGATGGTGGAGGCCATGCTGTGTCTCAGCAACATACTTTCATTTCTGAATTCACTGCAGCTTTTGAAAACACACCTCAGGCCGCTCTGAATTGGCTAGCTTGAGTCCTGACAATGGGACAGCAGTGCTGCTCCAGAGCTCAGGTGGGGTAAGAGCCCAATGCTCATAATGAAAACAAGGGACAGGAAAGAAATTTGTTCCCTTCTCCATCAGGGAATAAAGCTGCCATTGAACAAACTGGAATCTCTTTGCCTTACTAAAACAAGAGATACAACTTTCATACCATCTAGCAATGTCATAGAACTGAGGGCAGTGGAGTTTATCAGGAGCTTTGAGTCTGAAAGGCACAATGCAGCAGACATAATGCGTGGGAGATTATGAAATTGAGGGAAGAATGCAACGTAACTCTGGCCAGAGAACGAGTTCAAGAGAGCAATACATGAGAAATTAACTGTTCCATGATTCATGGTCACAAGCATATATAATGCTGAATTTACAGAGGGCTGAAACAAACTTCAGTTAAAAAAAACACCACCACTGAAAGGTATCTGCTGAACATATATCTCTGAACAGGATGCTTATATTTGCTTCAATTATACCCATAAGTCATTCAAGGACTATCCCAGAGATGCCAGAATCATTCTACAGACAATAACAACAACAATAGCAGACATCCAACTTCTGTGGCAGTTAAAGGAATACATCAGTATGGACCAGACATAATACATTCTCACAGGCATCACATAAGAACTGAAAATGACAACTAAAGGTTTAGAGTGCTGGAGATTTGAGTTTGCTTACTTGTAATTCATAGCCAGAATCACATTTATAAAGAACCACGTCTTTGTAATTGTATTTAGTGCCAACCACAAATCCATGCTCTGGAGACTCTGGGGTCCCACAGGACACAGGAATGCAGATGTCATCAGAAAACGGTGGCACCCAAATGCCACTCTCCTGAAAAATAAATGTAATTAGAGGTGTGAAGGCACCACTTTATATACTTACTTCATATCTAAATGAAAAAGTTAGGAAAATCATAGCAGAGGCATCCAGTGGCTGTGGGTGTACAGATGTGGTTAATGTAATATTATCTGTGCAATCCTTAATAAAACTCAGTAATTTAAGTAAGACTTTTAAGATGTCAACATAGACTGGAGCTCAGCTTTGGCAGGAATGTTCAACTTAGACTTACAAGACAGAAGGAACAAAAAGTAAATGCGGAAACAGAAGCTTGGAAAAGCAAGTTCACTTGTACAAGGTCACCTAATAGCTCAGGGAACATATCAGGAGAAGAATGAAGCCAACAGCTGCCTGATTCCATGCTCTGTACTTCTCTCCTGGCTGTGTATCTAACACCATGACTAAGTTCTTCAGCTGCCTTCCCAGACTTTCTAAGGGAAGTCTGATACCTGAAGAGACACTCATCAAACACACCTAATCCTACTTCCACAGATCTTTGAAACAGCAAAAAAAGGGGAAAACCTTTCTTTACGAAGTGTTGATTCTGCAAAAACACGCATGCTCAGGTTTTCTCATATGAGCAGACTTACTGACTTTAAGGAGTCTATTTACAAGCTTAAGTCAAGGTTGGCCACAGCAAATGCAACAAGAGGCTCCTAGCAGAACTGATGAGGATGTTTGCTCTTTAACATACAGAGGATTCAAGCTTCTACAGCTGCACAGTGGATTAAAATGTGTGCTGCCTGTTATTCCAGAGAAAAAGAGCACTGCACACAATCCTCAAAATACATTAGAAATCTTGGACATAATTTTTTTAAAATCTTGGACATGATTTATTCCCTGAAATGTGATAAAAGAAATGCTTTTCTAAAGGACAGCATTAGTTTTCGATGGAAGCCGAAATTAATAATTTCTAGTTCTGAAAGTCTATACATGAAGAACTAAGAATTGCTCTTACTGGGCAACAAGGAAGCACATTATATTTTGCAGGACATGCTTTAAATTTTTTTGTTATGTGCAGCTAAGGGCCAAAAGCTAATGAGGGCATAAGGAGGACTCTTGAATTCAACAAAGCTGGCAAAATAAAACAGTGCAAATAACACTATACCTTGCATGTAGATGTCCTCGCTCCCACCAGAGTATAGCCTTTTACACACGACAACGTGATGTTTGTGTTCACAGTGAAGTTGTCCCCAGGCACGATTACATGGGTGGTATTTCCTGGGATGGGACACTTTCTGGGGCAACAGGAAATACTTTGAGGAGACCACTGTCCGTCTTCCTGGCAAATGCATACATCCACCTCTGTCACCATTGTGTAGCCTTCCAGGCATCTGCAACACAGCATGAAGACCTGACCCCAGAGACACAGCTAGAGATGAGCTAACCCATATATCACAAAGCCAGACAGTCACTTTTCAGCATTAGTTGTTCAAGGTTGTTAGCACACCTTGGGATTTCTCTATTATTTCAAGGTAACCCTGTAAGAAGCATGTCTTGACTGAGTTTATTCTGTTGCAACAGCTGGCAGCTTCAGACTTCATCTCCAGCTGCTTCATGCTGCTGCAGCACCACAATGGAAAGTGACGTTGGTGGCTTTAGTGCTTGGAAGGTGCTGAATGCTTTAGTGCAGTACCTGCACTGCCTTTCCCTTTGCAAGGAGGGCTTTTGGTTAGGTAAACAGTGTGTGAGTGCCAAGCAATTCTAAAGATGATCTCACTTTCTTCCAAGAACAAACCAAACCTTAGGCTGCCCGCAGGCCATTTGCTTAGACATTTAAGGCTGATTTGTTCTTTTCCTCACAGTGCTTCACCAAGAGCAACTCAACTGGCTTGCACAAGTGGGTTCACTTGTAGAAAGGCAGACACAAGCACCCCCTTCACCTTGTTAAAGATGCATAGAAATGACTGATACCATTAGATTCACCCACATGCCATCTCCCAATTCTGTCCCATACTATTACTTGCTTTTACAGCCAAAAAACCATCTCCCCTTCTGCCAAGGAAGTCCTCACCTTGGAGAAAGAGATCCGCAGTGTGCACACTTCAGGAAATTAACAAAATGCCCTTTCTCTAATATCTTACAAAGGAGTAACTTCGCATCACCAACACTTGCTGACAGTGCAGTGTAACAGTACAGAAAATGGGACACGAGGAAGATCAGCCCTTCTATATTACAACAGGCACCCGAGGAAGATGTAAATGGGGTGCCAAAAGGGGAGAAAAATTGCACACCCTACTGACTGGTGCTGCCAGCTGCTAAGAAAACCTGAATGTCCAGACCGGTGTTTCAGAGGAGGAGAAGAGAAATGCAAAGGGGAATGGGAAACTAAAGGTGGTGGAGGACTGCAGCCCAACAGGCTTGATGGAGTTTTGACAGTCGTCTAAATAATATTTTATATGTGCATGGGAATGTGAGCTTTGTCAAGCTGAGCATGTGATAGGGCATAACTTTCTTTCCAGGTCTTTTAAAAAGTTGCACTAACTGAGGGTGCATAAACCTTCCATCTTCATTCCCTCAGAAATTCTATAGAAACAGAATAGCAGCAGTATTCTTACCTGTACTGGACCTTGCTCCCATAGGTGTAAGTGCTCCCAAGAACCTCTGCATTTGGGACAGAAGGTGGTGGGCCACAGCTTAACAGCTCACAGCTTGGGTATGGCTTCTTCCAGACACCAGTCTCCATACAAGTCAGTTCTGGACTCCCCCGCATGACAAAACCTGTCAAGCAGGTATAGATGATGGTGTTCTCATCTGCAGAGCTGCTCCCATTGATAAATGTGTTGGGGATGATGGGTGGAGAGCCGCAGGAAATCTGCCCGCAGCGAGGAAACCCAGAACCCCACTTGCCAGCTGCCTCACAGGTCACTTCAGAAGGCCCTAGCAGTTTGAAGCCCTCCAGGCACTGAAACTGGGCAGTCTTCCCACAGCTGAAATCTGTACCAAGAATGACCCCATTCTGAATCTGTGGTGTAGGACACAGACAGGGTAGGCAAGATGGAAGGCTTCCACTCCAGGAGCCATTGGACAAACATTGCCGTAAAGGATTGCCATGCAGTTCATAACCAGGGAAGCACACATACTGGGCAAATTCCCCATAGGTAAAGCCTGAGCCATTCAGAAAGCCATGGGAGATATCTTCAGGAGGTCCACAAATGACTGGCTCACAGTGTGGAGCTTCTGAATCCCAGGTACCATCACTCCGACAGGTAAGCGCAGACATTCCTTGCAGAATATATCCTTCGTTGCAGTGATAGTGCACTTCTTTCTTAAAGCCAAAATCTGAGCCACTAGTTCTCCCGTTGGGAAGAGGCAGCGGCACAGGGCAAGTCACAGCTTTGCAAACTGGAGCAATTCCACTCCAGCTTCCATTTGCAAGGCAGACTCTACTCCTGTCCCCATCTAACAGGAAACCTTCATTGCAGCTGTACTCTGTATGTTTCTGGAATGTGTACTCCTCTCCAGTCACCTGACCATTCTCCAAAACTGGTGGTGGGCTGCAGGAAATGGGAATGCAAATTGGTTCACTGCCATCCCATTTCTGGTTTTCTTGGCATCTCCTCTCTGTGGGGCCATTTAACTGGTATCCAGGATCGCACTCATAGTAGACAACACTCCCATATGTGTAGTTTTCCCCTCTTACGTTCCCATTCATAAGCTGGCTAGGTGAGTTGCATGTTACTGCTTTGCAGTATGGAGCAGTGTTACTCCACTGCCTACTTGGCAAACATAGTCGTTTGTTGGAGCCAACAAGTGTGAACCCTGGCTTACAGGTGTACTGCACCGTGCTACCAAGCGTGTTCTCAGTGAAATGTAAAAAACCATTCTCTGGGGGTGACAGCAAGGTGCACTCTATTGAAACGCAGGCGGGGGCAGTGCCGTTCCAAGCGCCATCTTCTTGGCAAGCTAGAACAGGGTTTCCCAGCAGCTCGTAGCCAGAGTAACATGTGTATAAAATGATAGTTCCAAATAAGAAAGTGGTGAGCTGCATTGCACTGTCCTCCTTCAAAGAACTTTTCAAGTCTTTCAAATTGTCAGCCAGTAACATATGCGAAAGGGAGGGACTCTCTGTAACACTCTCCTGGTCAGAACGTCTTTCCCCATGTCTGACCTGCACGTACTCCCCAAAGTCAATGTGAGGAGGCAGGCCACAGTCTGTTGGGAGGCAGGTTGGTGTGGAGCTAGACCAGCCTGATTCTTCACAGGTCTGCATGGCAAGGCCAGACAGCTGGAAGCCTGGCACACAGCTGTAAATGACCATGGCCCCATAGCTATAATCTGCACCCTCCACAAAGCCATTCTCAATGGGCTGAGGGGGCTGGCAATTTATGGCTTTGCAGGAGGGAACCTCTGTACTCCACTCCCCTGTCTCTAGGCATCTCAGTGTTTCCTGCCCTTGGAGCTGGAAACCTCTGTCACAGGAATATCTAACAGTCTGCCCATAATGGAAGTTTGTGAGTGAGTATTTGCCATTGAGGATATTCTTAGGCCTTGGGCATTGAATAGGTTTGCAAGCTGGCCTTCCTCCAAGCCACTGGCCGTCTTCTCCACAGAGGATAGTTGTGTTCCCCACTAGTTCAAAGCCTGGTTTACATGTATAGAGGGCTGTGCTAAGGAAGGTGAGGCCCTGCACATCAACAATGCCATTCTGAATTTCTTCTGGCTGGGGGCACTCCACAGGAATACATTCTGGCAAAGGCAAGCTCCATGAGCCATCAGCCTGGCATCTGATTGTAGACTCACCCTTCAGCAAAAACCCATCCACGCAGATGTATTTCACAGTGCTACCAAAATGAAGGGAGGAAGTCAAGGGGTCACCAAAAGGGATGTACGGAGGTGCGGGGCACTGTACAACCTTGCAGAAGGGAAAGGAATCATTCCACTGTTGGGAGGGCAAGCATTTCAGTACAGAGGAGCCATGCAAAACGAAACCCTCCTTGCAGGAGAACTGTACAACACCGACTTGGTAAGTCACTTCCCTCAAGACCAGCTGGTTTTCTGCCAAAGGTGGTTCTGGACATTTTGTTGGCACACACTTTGGGCTTTGCTTTTTGCTCCATTTCCCAGACTTCTGACACGTCCAAGAAACATCTCCAACCAGCTCATAGCCTTCATCACAGAAAAACTCAACTTTGGAGCCCATATCAAAAGTTTCTCCCTTGGAGTAGCCATGCTGGATGGGTGGCGGTTTTCCACAGCTGAGGGGAACACAATAAGGAGTTGATTCACTGTACCATTGCCGATTGGCTTGGCAGACAAACACTGGGCTCCCAACCAGCTGGTAGCCAGACTCACACTGATAATATGCCTGATTCTCAAAGAAGCGTCCAGTTGTTTCCTGCAAAACAGATAAGACGGGGACATGTCTGAAATGAAGATGCATGACTGTAGCAATAGGAGGCTGATTTAATTTCTTGTGTTCTCTTGGTCTATCTTCTAGCTGAATCCCAGACAACAGTAAAGGCTGTCTGCAAAGGAATGAATGCAAATAACTGATACAGAATGTCTTGCCTCAAATGATGCACTGTGCTGTCAGGAAATCTGAGAGCACCATCAAAAGGAAACAGAAAATTCAGGGCTTAAAAGGTAAAAGCTAGAAAATATTTCCTCTGCTTTCCCCCTTCCTGACCCACGAGGCCAAAAGATGTGTAGACAGGAAGACAGAAAAGAAATGGGTCAGGAGAAGCTGCCATGAAATGGCCTATTGTTGTTATGATTCTTTAGCTTACAGGTGTATTCAAGGCTGGAGCCTTCAGATGTACTACTACTAGGAGATGTTTATAACTGCCACATATGCAGCTGCAGGGTTTTGAGCAGGCAGCTGAGGAGCCCCTCAAAGTTGCAGGCTGAGCTCTCACTGAGGTAGTAAAAAATGTCTCTAACTGGAAGGAATATCTGGAGGAGTGATCCTACCTAAGGAAGACAACACAGAGTGATATGCATTAATTAGAGGATGTATCTGTGTGGGAGGCTGAACAGACATTTTTGCTAGTACTGCTGGAAGCCCATGTAGGAACTGGGATGCAAACCACCCCCGCCACCCCCAGTTTTTAGCAAATGCAGATTCCCTGGTGGCTAGATTTAAGGAAGGTGGGGGGATGTTCAGAAGAAAAATACTTCAAAAATTCAAAGTTAAATCTTTACAATGGTGTATTTGATCTTCCTTACCACAATATTACCCTTGTGAATCAAAGCACAACACAGGTTAAGCGGTTGTTAAAGGTCTGGGCTGCCACAAGGGGATTTTTACTTCAGGCTTTGTTACAATGTAATTTGATAAGGAAAGGGAAGTTCTGACTTCAGTAAAGAGGTGTGCTTGCATCAAGAGGAGAGAAATTTTCCCAGGGTGATTTACCTACTGCAAACCAGTTTGTTTTTCAAGGCAGTGAAAAGAGCAAGGCTTGTGAACTGGCAACAGTACTTCAAATATCTCCAGATGACACTGGGAAGCCACCCATGGACCAAAGAAATGGAGAGTAAGACATTAAGGAAATCAATTGATTGTCATATGGCATTTTGAGTCTCCTAACTGAAAACCCACTTTAAGATAGGAAGTCCCATGTAAGTGTCCATGTTTTTCAGACACGATTCTGCTGCAAATCCACCCATTTTTCCCTTTGTTTATTCCATCCAGTCATGTGCTTCCATAATTTTAACAGGAGAGCAAAACAGAAGAAAGAAAACCACAATAGCGGCAATTGTGAAGACATATGCAGTTTGCTATTGTACCAGGCAGATGAGAAAACTCATTCTGTACCTTAATAAAGCCATTCTCAAGCTGCGGTGGTTCTCCACAGGACACTGGGTGGCATGTGGGCAAACTGCCACTCCAGTTGCCCGTGGCCTCACAGGTCCGCTTCTTCTCTCCCTTGATGTAGAACCCCTTGTTGCAGCTGTAAGCCACCACTGCTCCGAAGCTGTAGTTGGCCCCACTGGCATAGCCATTGCTAATATCGGGGGGCTCTCCGCAGCGAACGGGGATGCACTGGATGCTCAAAGGAGAAGGATTCCACTGGCCCCCTCGAAGGCACTCGATCTTAGCTGAAGTGTTCAGAACAAAGCCTTCCATGCACTTGAAGCTCACGATGGAGCCAGCTGCAAACCTGGCTTTACTCATGGATTCCAGGATGCTGTATGAGACGGTGGATGGCTTTTCACAGAAATCAGCTATGCAGTGGGGCATCTCCCTGCCCTCTGGAGGCACCCACTTCCCTTCTGCATTGCAAAGCAGCTGAGAGTTATCAGCCAGGCTGTAGCCATCCGAGCAGAAGTAATAAGCTATATCACCAAAGAGACGGTGGCCACTCTCTGGTGACGCATTTTCCACATGGGGTGGTTCATCACAGGATACTGCCAGGCACTGCTGGTGGCTCACACTCCACTTGCCGCTGGCTAAGCACTCTATGGTTGCAGGGCCAACTAATGTGTAACTGTGGAAAAGGAAACCACATAGGAAGTAAAAAATACAAGCACTGTCAGACACTATCTACAGTTTCCTGAAGCCCTCTGCAGTACAAGCTTGCTTGCTAGCACCCTGGAAGAATAGGATCCTTTACAAAAGCTATGATCAACTTCAAAAGGAAAATCTTAAAGCCTATGTGTCCACGTGTGAAGTCTTACAATGGGAGATATCCTAGCACACCTTGTGTATATTGCTCCTCTCTCATCTGTCCATCTGATTACCGTTCCTGAACTTCCACTTTGGTTGAAACTACTACAACAAACCTAACATTGTGCTGTGACAGTGCATACAATCCTCAAAGAAACAATCCCACCAAGAAATTCTTCCCCTTTAGCAGAACTGAATGGAGAAGAAAGAGATAAAAAGCCCATAAAGGCCTTTTGGGTTCCTGTATCAGCCCTATCAATCTTCACACTTGCAAGCAATGAGAAATTCCTTGGTGAGTTACCCACAGAGACTCTTGCCAATAATGCACATGGCAATTTTGTAAAACCTTCTTCCCAAAAAAACACTGTAAAAATGGTTCTTAAAGCCAGTAAAAGAATTAATGCTGAGTAGAAAAAAAAAAATCATCTTTATTACAATCAAATTCTACAACATGATTACTGTTGTAATTGTATTGTAGTTGTAGTAGCTGTATTTCTCTAATCTGTCTCTGGGATGCAGTGACAGACTCCATGCTGCTCATCACCCCACTTAAAAACCTGCTGCTTAAACATGCAACAGTATAGTCGCAGTACCTGTGACTATCTTCTTCCTCAGTTTTGAAATCTCTGTGGTGTGCTCTCATGGAAAGCAAAGAAACAATAACTACTGCAAAGTTCCTTGTGACTCTTTCCAGCTGCAGGCTGGAAACTGGTTGTTCAGATTTTGATGGCAACATCTTGTAGAAGTGCTTTGTCTTGTTTGCAGGATTTGTTTTCAAACACTTATGACTGGACTCCAGAAAAAGAGCCCATTATCTGCCAATGTTTAATGTGATCCACTCTATTCGCTGTCACAGACAGCTGTGACCCTCTTTAAATGGTGCTATCTTACCCCATTTAAAATGTTTGCACAGGAAAGAGAAGCAGCTTTTTTAATCATTATACAGTAAAGAAAACAGAATAAGGATGCTTTGCTTCAATTATGTTTCAAATAATATTGCAAAGCCAGTTCATAAGAAAAAAACCGGCTTATCAATCTACCTTTTTACATTAAGAAGGAGCAGAAAATCCTCCAGTCACTTAGGGCCTGACCTGGCAAAAGCTCTGCATACCTGCTCTGCCTTTTGGACAAAACAGTTTCAAGAAATTCAGTGGGACTGTTCACAGGCTGTAAACATAAGCATGTGCAAAGGTTCTTGCAGGATCAGAGTCCAGCATTACATTCATGCTTGACATTATCAAGATGGAGCCTCATCTTCGATGAAATACGGTCTGAAAAGGTCATTACACTGAGAAGATGGAAATTAAAGATAAATAATGCACCTCAATAAACAAGGAGTCAGTTTTAAGGAAGCAGAATTTAGAACACCAGAACAGACAGTTCTCAAAGCACACCAAACAGCTTGCTTATAGCCTGAAGAGACATAGGGAATTCTTTATGATCAGGGCCTTGAGTTTACCACAGAAGTACTAGTCCTGTAGTAACTCCAAGGGAGAGGGCTTCCTACTGAATTGGTCTATCATTCCCCATGACTCCTCTTCATTCTCCTCTTCCAGAGTGTATTCAGCTGCCATGAAACTACTTCAAGAAATGCCTATGTGTCCCATACTAACTTGACAGCCCACAAAAAAATCTCCATCACATTTAATTTCCAGAGACTTAAGACAGAAGCAGTAAAAATTAATTACTGTGCAGTTATAAAGGACTTGTGAAGCAGTGCACCAGTTTTACTCATCCTGACTATTAGTCCAGTAGTGCTAAACTACATACCCTTCCTTACACATGTAAGAGACCGTGTTTCCAAAAGTAAAGTTATTTCCATTGACGACTGCATCTTTGATGGCAGGAGGGGATCCACAAGAGACAATGTTGCAAGCTGGAGGTGTGCTGTTCCAGTTCCCTGAAGAAGCACAGACAAGTACAGAAGGTCCCTGAAGGCTGAGACACAAAGATAATTGTTAAGGTTGCCATTTCAGTCCAGGTGAGGAACAGAGAGGGAGAGAGGTGCTTTGCTTCTCACTGACTTCCCGGCCCCAGTGAAACCAAGGGGAGTCTCTCACTGACTTCAGTAGAGGCCAGAATCTCACCCTCTGTTCATGAAAAAGCACTGCTGATGCTGTCAAAAAAGCTGGTCTTCCAATTATTTGGGGGAGAGAGCTGGTGGAATTCATGTGGGGCCTCAATGCACTGTGCAGACACACACATAACTTCTGCTGTAGCTTTGCCCATCTTTGAGCCACAAAAGAAAGTTGCGGGGTGCTTAAATATTTATTCAAACTTAGAGATTTACTTGTATGCCATCAACACCAGGCCAATCTTGAGACTTGCAGTTAGGCCTCAGTCTAAGACCTGATTCACTCAAGGACTTAAACACTATCTTCTCTCAGGAAACTGAAGGAAATGCTCCAGTCCAGCTTTGTTTACAAAAAAGCATTCAATTCCTTCAGAAGGTAAAGGATTCTGCATGAGTGAGTGGCCACATACATTTGAAGTCGATGGTGTTTTTTGGTTTCCTTAGCTGAGAAAACAGTAACGCATTGGTACAAAAGGTGTGACTCAGTTGTCTAAACACCGGTAGTCAACACCACCCTGAGATGCCCTGGGCGAACACCCTGGCCTCCAGCTGCTACATCAGCTGGCTATGGATTCCCAGTAGGTCCCATGTCATATCTGAGACACACCTACACAGGTGTGTCTGATTCCTTATAATTCAGTCTCAAGTAGCATTAGACCCCCACGTTTAGTTGACTGAAATGAACTCAGGGGTTAATAGAAGAGAACAACACTGACCTCTAAGGGCCTTACAGATATGGCACAGGCCCTTGTCAGGGCAGTGGGCTCTGCCTACCTGTGGCAATATGTTTAATACAAAAAGCACACAGGAGGTGCTTAAAGGAAAAGACTGGGTCCGCGCTTAGGTCCAGAAATAATGCCTAAGAGGGACACTGTTTGGGAGGGCTTCCCCTGGGGTGGTGACCACAGGAGAGAGGACTTCTCTCACCAAGCTATGCTAGACAGGTAAAGGGGAAGAGTCACAACTGATGTGGTATTTGCTGCCTAATATGTCTAGGTCCATGGTCAAAAAACTCATTGACATTGGTAAAAACACTGCCTGGTTTAGTGGGTTACAGATAAGCCCACATTGTGGATCTACAACTTAACACTACACTGGACTGCAGCTGGGGTATCCCTTTGTATTAACACCATTAAAACATTCACCAAGGAGCACACCTCACCTACCTGCCTGCATCTGGACAAGAGAATGCTTGCAGCAGGAAAATACAGAATAAATTCAGACCTAAACAGGTCCATATGAGACCTCTTATGTCAAAGTAAATCTGCTAGAGGTACAAGCACATATCAGGAGAGGCAGAAACTTACACTTAAAATCACATCTTTGGTATAGCATTACTGTATTAATTTTTAATTGCAGCATATTAAACATGCGTTTCCAATATAATTGCTTACGAATGTAAAACAGAATAAAAGCCTAAATCAATAAGTACTACAAAGAGTTCAAGGAGTAAATCAGTAACTTCTAGAAGGTTCTTTCACCAAAGGCATTGTAAAACAGTACCAAAAATAATATTGGCTATGTGCTAAAGCTGTAGGGGAATGATAATCTTTAAGGACAAATGAGAACTTTCAAAAATAATGACAACTATTTTTCTGAATATTCAAAATATGTCTTTGAGCTTGATGGTAAAATTAAAGCATTGCGTGTGTGTGTATATATATATATATATATATAAAAATCCTGAATAACTTTCTTGAACTGCTCCAACTTAGGATGAAATACAGAAAGTACCTTCAAGATATAAAGCAGCCTTTTTAAATTCTATTTTAGTATTTTATCTTTCTGAGCAATGATCCCAGCTTTGTCTCTTTCAGACATAAGTTAGACTTTCTAGCAAGCATGCCACCTGCATTTAGCTCAGGAACGTTCCTGCATTTACCTGTATCCATTGTCACAGGTGTATGATACAGAGGAAAGGTAGGTTGTGCCAGTGAGTGTGTATTTTCCATTGCTGATATCCTGCGGGCTAGGACAAGTCACGATTTCACAGGAGGGAGGAGGATGATTCCAAATGCCACTAGCAAGGCACAGAATTTCCTTTTCACCCACTAAGTTGTATCCATCATTGCATCTGAGTTAGAAGAAAAGAAGGTTATCAAACACAGAGCCTTTCATGCACAATGTAATCAGCTATCCCTTTTCTGTCTCCATCCACGCCTCCATACGCCATCTTTCTCTGCAGGGCACAGAGATGCAGTACTGGAGTAAACATTCATCTTTGCTAGTGAATAGCCACAGCTGTAACCAAATGTCTTTCCATTACTTTAACCCCACCTTACTCCTTCACTTCAACCACTCTCTCAGTTCAGCCATACTCTCATTTGTTGCCAGATTCTCAATCAATTATTAATATAGCACTTCAAACATACTGAATTCCTACCTGTACACCACCTTATTGTGGTACGTAAAATTTGTGCCCAAAATGGCACTGTTCTCTGGAATAACTGGACCGCCACAGGATATAGCTTTAAAAAGACAGGATCACAAGAGAGGTTGATACAACACAAATAAAAATAACAGAAAATCAGGATTTGCTTTGTTTTCTCTAAATAGGTTTGAAAAGGTGTAAAGCCCTAGGTAACACTGGGTTCTTGACTAAGCTATAACTGACATTTAGGGCTCTTTATCTCATTTCACCTTACTGAGAAATTGGTCTAACTGGAAATAGGTAGTTGGAACTGTTCTACAAACCACACACTTGCCTGTCAAGAGGACTCCAATACCCACCCCTCCCTACAGACAACGTAATTGTTTTTTTGACATTGTCTTTGTCATCCCTTCATTTTTTCTGTTGCTTCACCTCATTAGTTCTGGTTTTCTAAAGAAACAATTTCTGCAGTTACACCATGTATATGTATGTGCACCAGGCTGTCCCCTCTGGTTCCTTTTTATCCACTGAAACACAGTTAATGATCTTTAAGACATTAAGTTTGCACAAGTTCATTGAAAATGGGAGGCTGGGTGGAGAAGAAAAACACTTTTTATGCTTGCATTAAAATGAGGTGAGTCTACGCCTTTGCCACTTTGGACAATCTGCATGAGAGAGTACCATTATGAATATGACAACTGTTGAAAAGCTTCAACTGGTGCTTACATCTCTTAAGACAACAGAGACTTCAACACTGAGACCCAGGTCTGCTAGGACAGGGTTTCATTAGCTGCCATGGTCTCTAAAGGCTCTACACTACTACCTTCCCCCTTCTATCTCTCTAACAACACACATTACAACATGCATTATCCCCAGGAACCACACCTTCACAGTATGGTATTGGGTGGCTCCACTTTCCAGACTCCATGCATGTAAGTTTAGTCACTCCTGTCAGCTGAAACCCTTCTTCACAGGAAAACGTTACTTCACTGCCAACACTGTAAGTGTCCCCATATAAATGGCCATGCTCTGGGTTTCCTGGATTATGGCACTTCACTGGTTCTGAGGAGGAAGAGAGAAACTGTCAATAACAAAACTAAGCACCAGGCTTCATCAACAAGTTGCAGGTGTCATCCTTGGGAATTTTCTAAAAGTAGGAAGGCAGAGCACGTGGAAAACACTCATAAGTAGTTGACAGCCTTACCAGCTTTTCTCTGTTCTGTATGTAAGTGACAGGTGCTGAAGACTCATGGAAGTAAGCTAATCTTGACATGGAAGAGCCCTCTGTAACTGGGTTTGCATTCATTGTCAGAAGCAAACACATCTTGCAGTTATTCTTCCCTCTGTGAGGGAAAGCCCCTACCAGCAAGTCCAGTCCTGAACATGAAATCAGCTCAGCTACCTTTTATCCCAACTTATGCCACTGTCTTGTCATCTTCATGCAAGGTTACCTTGCTTAACGTTTCCACAGGGAGCTCAAGCCCTACCCAGATGCCTGTATTCAAATATTTCTTCACTGCACAGCTCTGCTCTGAGCAGTGACACATTGTGGCATGCAGTCTTCCCAGGTCTTCAGCACATGTGCTCCATGTGCAAGAGGATTTTGCATGCGTGTATTCTCAAGGCAGAATCCCAACTGACAGTTGTTTCCATAGGGAGAGGTCAGTTCTCAAGAAACAAAAGGAGACACTTCACCACAGCCTCATTCAGGCCAAAGGGACCTGGAGATGAGAGTATCACTCCATAGATATTAATTACTGGCAAATGTCTTCCACAGTGGGAGGCAGGACACTGGCCTATACAGAACCTTGGAAAGGCTAGCCTGATGTTTTTCTTTCCCATACCTGCACATTTTTTACCGTCTCCTGTGTAAGGAGGGATGCAAGTGCAAACATAGGATCCATTTGTGTTGAGACAAGATGCATGTTCATCGCAGTCTGATCCAACAGCGCATTCATCAACATCTGAAAAGAAACACAGAAAAGGTGTCTCTAGGGTGGTAATTGTAATAAGCATGTGCTTTAAATTTCTGTCTCACTAACTGTCAAGAGGAATAGCTTTAATTAATATAATTAAAAATCACTCTTCAATCACATTTTTGATGCACTAGTAAAAATATGTAATATTTAAATTAATATTTATGCTTTCTATATAATTTACTATACAATACTGTGAAGCATGAGAATATCAGAGACAAATCCTATTAACCTTCAGTCAATACTTTCACAAAAAGTATCTAGTTTTGACGTAGCAAAAGAACAGACATTGTAACTCAGGAGGACTACAAGGATATCGTGAGGTTATACAAGCCGAACACTGGAAGGGCCAAAGCCCAGCTAGAACTCAATCTGGCTACTGCTGTAAAAGACAATAAAAAATGTTTCTATAAATACATTAGGAACAAAAGGACGTCTAAGGAGAACCTACATCCTTTATCGCATGCGAGGGGAAACAGTGACAAAGGGTGAGGAAAAGGCTGAGGTACTTAATGCCTTCTTTGCCTCTGTCATTAATAGTAAGACCAGTTGTTCTCTGGGTACCCAGCCGCCTGAGCTGGAAGATAGGGATGGGGAGCAGAATGAAGCCCCCACAATCCAGGGGGAAATAGCGAGCTGCTACACCCACTACTCAGACACACACAAGTCTATGGGGCTGGACGGGATCCACCTGAGGGTACTGAGGGAGCTGGCAGCAGTGCTCACCAAGCCACTTTCAATTATTTATCAGCAGTCCTGGCTAATGGGGGAGGTCCCACTTGACTGGAGGCTAGCAAATGTGACACCCATCTACAAGAAGGGCCAGAAGGAGGATCCAGTGAACTACAGGCCTGTCAGTCTGGCTTTGGTTGGACTGGGGAAGGTTATGGAGCAGATCACCTTGACTGCCATCACATAGCATGTGCAGAACAACCAGGTGATCAGCATGGGTTTATGAAAGGCAGGTCCTGCTTGACTAACCTGATCTCCTTCTATGACAAAGTGACCTGTTTAGTGGATGAGGCAAAGGCTGAGGATGTTGTCTACCTAGACTTTAGTAAAGCCTTTGACACCATTTCTCACAGTATTCTCCTGGAGAAACTGCCTGCTTATGGCTTGGACAGGCGTACGCTTTGCTGGGTAAAAACCTGGCTGGATGGCCAGGCCCAAAGAGTTGTGATGAATGGAGTTAAATCCAGTTGGTGCCTGGTCACAAGTGGTGTTCCCCAGGGCTCAGTATTTACTGGGACCAGTTCTGTTTAATATCTTTATCATTGATCTGGATGAGGGGATTGAGTGCACCCTCAGTAAGTTTGCAGATGACACCAAACTGGGTGGGAGTGTCGATCTGCTGGAGGGTAGGATGGCCCTGCAGAGGGATCTGGACAGGCTGGACCGATGGGCTGAGGCCAACTGTATGAGGTTCAACAAGGCCAAGTGCCGGGTCCTGCACTTCGCTCACAACAACCCCATGCAACGCTACAGGCTTGGGGAGGAGTGGCTGGAAGCTGCCTGGCTGAAAAGGACCTGGGGGTGTTGGTTGACAGCTGGCTGAACATGAGCCAGCAGTGTGCCCAGGTGGCCAAGAAGGCCAACAGCATCCTGGCTTGTATACGAGGACATTGAGGTGCTGGAGCATGTCCAGAGAAGGGCAACGAAGCTGGTGAAGGGTCTAGAGAGCAAGTCTTATGAGGAGCAGCTGAGGGAACTGGGGTTGTTTAGCCTGGAGAAGAGAAGGCTGAGGGAAGACCTTATAGCTCTCTACAACTACCTGAAAGGAGGTTGTAGTGAGGTGGGTGTTGGTCTCTTCTCCCAAGTAGCTAGCGATAGGACAAGAGGAAATGGGCTCAAGCTGCGTTGGGACATTTAGATTGGATATTAGGAAGAATTTCTTCATGGAAAGGGTAGTCAAGCATTGGAACATGCTGCCCAGAGAGGTGGTGGAGTCACCATCCCTGGAAGCTATCAAAAAATGGGTAGACGTGGCACTTCAGGACATGGTTTAGTGGGCATTGTAGTGCTGGGCTGATGATTGGAATGATGACCTTAGAGGTCCTTTCCAATCTTTATTATTCCTAGTTTTGACTTTCATTAAAAATAATCCAGCCACCAAGCCAGAAAACATGAAATTGCTACTCTATCCTTAACTGGTTTAGTGGTGGACTTGGTAATGTTAGGTTAATGGTTGGACTGGATGACCTTAAAGGTCTTTTCCAACCTAAACGATTCTATGATTCTATGATTCTAAAACATGTGTAGATGTGGTCCTTAGGGACATGGTTTAGTGGTGGACTTGGCAATGCTAGGTTAACGGTCAGACTTGATGACCTTACAGATCTTTTCCAGCCTAAACATTTCTATGATTCTTTGTGCTGTTACTACTAGTTTGGACAGACACTGTGAGGGGCGACTTCTGCATTAAACACTTGCTTGGGAAATCCTCTATATCTCAAACTTCCCACCTGTAAGAAAGGAAATCTTAGCCAAGAGGGGAAACACTCTGAACATAAAATATGATTAGACCCCCATCTTTGCTGCAGAGAATTACATTAGACTAGGAATGAGAAGTGCCTGCAGTTGCCAGACAAGTTAAAATTACTTCAAAATATATTTGTTATTATAATTAACTATTTATATGATAGTAGTGCCTAGAAATGCCAATTGATGATTTACGCTCCATGTGGCTTGGTACTGTACAGCAAAAAGAATCCTTCACTCCAGAATACTTCATATCAGCTTTCTAATCCTGACTGTGCAGAAGTGTTCTTGGTATGTAAACAATGAGTCATAAATTGCAAAGGGTCAATTTCAAAGTATCTGATTGAAAAATGCTGGCATCAGGGATTATTCCTTATATAAACCAGACTGTTAGAGAGAGATAGAACAATTCTTCATTTAAAAGCCCTGCTACAGGACAGCTGTTGAACTAGGTATACCATGCAGACATATAGCTGGAGTTCTTTGCCCATGTCCAGGCAAATACCAACTTGGTTAAAAAAGCAACAAAATTTACTGAATTAATGTGTTTATTTTTCACTGCTGAGTAAGTCTGGCCAGCAGGAAAACCCAACAAAGTTCTGAAAAGAAAAGGAGTTTCTTTCTGATTTGCAGGATGAAAACGGCACATTAAAATCAAACAGTGGCCAATTACACAAATATCAGGAGAATTCAAAGTGCTACCACAGCAGAACTGGAGTGACTGCTCCTCCTGTAATTCTTGTAAGGCAAGGAAGAGTGGAAGGACACTATGAATCAGATCCATAACAGAGCAAAAGGAATGCCCCAGGGCATAGGTGTACCAGGCTTTTACTAGCACCTCCCTGGAGCGTGAATGAGAAAGGTAAAGGGCGGGTCAGGGTGCCAAAGCCACCCACTCTTGTTTTCATTTTTCCCCTTAGTCTCCTCTGCTTTATGAGAGACAAGGCGAGCTGGAAGGTGGGGCACAGGGCTCTTCCTTCCCAACATCATGCTTCCTACCGCACAGACATCAAACTATTTGGACAGCCTTGTAGCATCTGCTCTGAGCCTGCTCATCTTTAGGCCTTGGAATAAAGTGCACAGGAGAAAAGCAAAGAGAGGAGTAACACATTGGATGGTCTGTCTGGGGGTTCTGAAGGAGTCCTGGTAGACAGGATGCTATGAAACCAGATGGATCCTACTCCAAAATGAATTTTGGCAGAACCAAAAGACTGTTGGCTTTTCTTCTGCTCGTCTTGACTGAAAAAATTATGTGCTATACCTATGTAAGAGTCAAATCAAACACAAATCTTGCCAGGTAGTTACCCCACAACTCCCATGTTAGGCACACCTATGACAGCTGCAATCCAAGTACAACTAGCTAGTCGTTTCCAGCAGAGATCTGCTGGAGACATGGCCCTACAAGAACAGTCACACCCAGTCCTTTGTATGCAGTACAATGCTGGTCTGTCTCACCTTTCAGCTCCTGCAGCTGCATGTGGTATACCAGATCCAGTGACCAGGAAGTAAGTTATGGTGTGGCAACTATGTGAACTGTGTCCATAGTCCCAGCCCTCTCAAGGCTGCAGCTGCTTGCTGACAGGCGTGTGTGACTGACCAATAAATCCCCACAATGGCTGAAGGCTCAGAGGAGATGGGCAAAAGTGATTTGCCCATGAAGCTCAGGGAATAATGTGGGGTGTGACTGACCATTGCTGTTACAAAGAAGCTGACTCAACCCAAGGGGACAGGAAGGTGGCCTTTGTTTTAGCTAAACAGCTATCAACAGCTGAGTGGATCAACTAGTGGTGTAAATGTTCATTAAAAGAGTGCCAATGTCTCCCTGAGTTAGCCAGATCAGCATGGGGGGGAATTGAATACAAGGCTCGGGTCAACACAGAGTACAAAATCCAGACAACTAGCAATGGGCTTGAGCTGGCTTCAACCTATGTATTCATTTCTGGCTACTGGGGACACCCAGTGTCATGGTGGTGAGCATATTACAGAGACTGGTAATGGGAAACACATTGGTATTGTGATTGAACTATGTACTGTAATTGCTATATTTTGCTAAATGTAACTTGCATTTATCTGTACTGTGTTATGCAGTACATTTTGTATCATTTGTATCACTCTACTGAATCAGAAATCCTGTGCAGCACCAACTATCTTCAGATAAGTAAATTTTATATTAAACATTACAACCTCTGCACACGGAACATCTAAAAGAACCTGTTCAGAGAGTATGGGACACTGACAGTGTGCTGAAGCACAGGGAAATGCACAGGTTAGAAGCAGAGAATGCAAGGACTCTAGGGCTGAACGAACCCGGAAGGAGAGAGGCTGGGAGTGCCGTGCAGGCATGTGTAATTTTATATATGTTCAACAAATATAGGGTGTGGGGCATACAAGAGGATTGACAGAGAAAGGTGCCAGAATGTAGTTTTGGTTTCACACAGTGTTGAGCACAGTATTTCAGAAATGTGAACATTTTGGGGTATCATTTCTGAGACTCTGGTCAGCCTTCACAATTTCAGAATGAAATCCCACCCAAACCCAAGAGCACAGGAGAAGTGCAAGATAGCCAGCCCATGTAGGCACACGTATGGCACATCTCACCAAGGCAAGATGGTGAAATGCTGTTCCAGCTCCCGTTGTCCAGGCACAACATCCTGGAGTCACCCAACAAATAGTAGCCATTGTTACAGTGATAGGTAACGGTACTGCCAGCAAAAAAGTCCTCAGCTGAATAAAATCCATTTTCTAAAGGTGGAGGCACTCCACAGCTGATTCCTGCAACATGAGTGAAAAAGAGGGCACAGACATTAGCAAAGCAGACACAGATCAACTTCAGAATAATTCCACATGAGAGCCACCACCGGACATTTTTACTCTGCAACTGTGAAATCCCATCTGAAAGAGAGCCCAGACCTTTTCTGAGGTAGCTAATTGATTCCAGATCTGGTAGAGGGTCTTGTTTTGTGGGAACTTGCCAGTCAGAGACTGAGCAGGACTCCCCAGCTCCTGCTATTCTGCCAGCTGTGGAGCAGACATCTGTGACTAAGATCTAAGCAGGTGCCCTTCAGTCACAGGACACTTCCCCTGATAATCAATGATCCCTGGTGAGTTTTAAGGAAAAAGGAAAAGTAAGTTTGCCTCCATAGGGCTTCCTGCTACTTCCCTTCACTGAAAAATAAGCTCAGTTTTACTGTGTTTGAACGCTGCAAAACTAGCTAACAGATTACTGCTAAGAGGTTGCAGCAGTGGTCTGAGACCAGGGAGTGCATGAAAAAGGGAGAGATTGGAAATGACCTCACATCAACCTTGGTCATCACTTTGACTTTTGACTATAGTAAATAAGCCCTGATCCCAGCTGTGCCGGCAGAAAGCACCACTGTACCTGCCTGCTGGAGGTTGCTATTTATTCTAGCAGCGCTGCTTCTGTGCATCTTCATTTCAATCAAGATGACATGAACTTGTTCCAACAGCTACACAGCTCATCTTTGTAACTACATGGATGTAGCAACTCCTTGCTCCCCAGCCATGTGCAAGGATCACACAATAAGACACTGTGAAGTGCTTAGAGCCCATGGTAATGGAAGCCAAGTACTTGCTGTAGAGGGATAGAACCGAAGAGCTTGTAACAAAGACAGGCTGTCAGGGGGTGGGGACCTGTGGTTTTGGGGGCCTTTGGAAGCAGGAAGAGGAAAAGGATCCTGGTGGATGAAGGCAGTGATTACAATGAGCCTGATTAAGTCAGCAAAACCTTTTCTGTACCACACCTTTCACTATAAACCCTGTAGTTCTTTATGCAGGAAACAGCTGTCTTCAACCCACTTTCATTCATCAGGTACTTGTGGAACAGGCTGAGAAATGCCAGTGGGTGAGTCTGGTCCTCATTCACTCAGCTTGTTTGTGGTAGGTCAGCCCTGTTCTGTCTAAGCTCTTTACCTGTGCTCAACAGGTAAAACTGCCTGGCCCAATACAGAGAAACCAGATGACAACACTAATAGGATTCTGGTGGCTTGTCACTGATAACACACCAAGAAAGAAAAGCTGTCTCTGCCAGTGAACTTGCACTGTGCCCAGCAGGACTTGCTTTTGGGTAAATCCTCACATGCATGTTATTCTTCAGGCAGAAGAAGGGACAGATCCTGGGTTTGTGCTGTGAACAACTGAACACAGAGGAAGACACGAAAATCGCATCAAATCTGGATCAAACTATTTTTAACAAATCTGATGATTTTCCCCAAACTACTGATCAATTTTGGGATCATGCAATACTTACTTCTGGAGCTAATTTAGTATTCTGCTGAAATGAAAAATATAGTCAGCTCCTACACATGCAACTGCAGTCACATGCGCAGTCACAGCAGAGGAGAACCAAAAGAAATGAGACAGTAGGAGCAGGAAAGCAGGAATCAAAGAACCTTGGCAACCTGAATGTATACAGTCCAGATTCTTAGAAAAAATACTGTAAGTCTTGGAGCAATTCTAAGTCCTGACAGAAGTATTGGCTGCCTTTAAAGAAATTACTGTAACATACTAATGCCAAGGCTTTTACTTCAAACCAGACGTTCTCAGTGACACTTAAAAACCACAGAGATATTCTAGCATTTCCTGTGCATCTTCCACACTCCTGGCGCCACTGGGGAGGAAAGTCTGGAGTATCAGATTGCTGATCCAAATAGACTCATTTCTGCCATGGGCATTAGAAACTGGCTGAAAAAGGTGGCAGAATCTGATCGTGGTGTAGTTCCCACTCAGTAAAACATGAGTTTAGTTTCAAGCATATATGTATATGCTGTAACATGGATGGATTCAAGTGCATCACAGCTGCAGGCCATGAATAGTGATAAGGTCCAAATAAAAGCTAGGGTTTCCTGATTCTGCCAGCCCACTGAGACAACTCACTTTCACAGCGGGGAAAGGGCCGTGTCCACTGTCCCATGTTAAGGCAGTGTTGAACAGAATTTCCCACTATCTGGAAGCCTGGGTCACAGGAAAGGCTCACTTTTGACCCTGGTTTTAAATCAGCAGAAGAGGCCCGCAGATGTGGTATGGATCCTTGCAAAGACGGACAGTCTGTGGACAAAACATATGCATACAGTAAGAGATACAGCTATGTACTGAAATTAATAAATTTGTTATTGGATTGTTTGATCCTATATAAATTTATCCAGGAGAAAGCTTTGGGAACTGTTATGTACGCTACATCCCGCTCAGGCTCAACATATAATATCAGAAAAGGAATCTGTAGGAAGAGAGGTGAGGAGCCAGTAGGTATTTTAATTATTATTAGCATAAAAGACAAGAAAAACTTCTTTCTGACCCAATTTTCCCCATCTCAATTCAGGAAGCAATAAATCTCTGTCAGAGATTCCAACGAACTTTTGTTACAAAACCCTGGAATTTGAGGAATGAACTCAATGTTCTAACTGTCAAATTATCAAAATAATTTATTCAAGGTTAGTAGGGCAAAGGCTGCAAGCTAGCATACTTGACCTCATAAAAGAGTCTTATAATGTTGTTCAGAAAAAAGGGTTCTAGGAAATAAATTTCTAACCAGCACAAAATATACTCTTGTAATCTATCTTCACTCTTCCAACAACTCCTGGCAGGAAATCTGGCCAGGCTAGTACATTTCCTTTTTGGAGTTCTTCTGGACAGGATGTAGCCAGAGATTTTACCTATGGATTTAAAACAGTTGATTAGGTGCTGTTTAAGGACCATGTAGGAAAAGAATGTAAAAAAATATTCCATGTCTGCATGCAACACTAGAACAAATCATTGAATAAGCAATGTTCATCCTTTCTAGCACAGGAGGCTTGTGGCTGAACTATGTGTTATTCTGTACTTTCAAGCCAGCTAGCTGTGGACAGGCATGTACTGAGACAAAACCTGAAGGAATACTTGTTATAAAAGCAAAGTATAAAACATAGTTCTTGAAACACAGTTGCGTTTGTTAGCATGGAAGAAAAATGTATTTATGTCACAGAATAATGAATGCAACCTGAAGAGAAGACTTGATGTATTTGCAGAAAAATGTCAAATAGGAGCCAGAAGGAACTTAATGTAGAAGATCTGCATTCCACAAACTCTTCCAGCACTGCACCATGTTTAAGGAACAGAAACACAAAAAGGCGCAGTTAAATAAAGCAGTTTGTTGTTTCCAGGACAAGTGTGTTGTGAATTCAGTGCACTAGGCTCTTCAAACACTGCAGGCAAGGCCTACCCACGCCAACACTAACAGCAGTATTGGCACTGACTTCAACCAAAGCACAACAGGGCCATAACTAACCATATACTGAAACATGAATTATATAGGCAATCTAAGGATAGGAGAAAGAAAGGAACACACTGTTAGATCAACAGCAGATTAATTATCTTGAGAGCAAGTTATCTGGTCAAATATCTTTGACAGAAAAGTTTTCTGATTAAAACATAACTCCTTGAATAGCACCACTAGGCGTTTCCTTTGCATTCTTACTACAAGAAACTGAAATGCCAATGGGAATCCTTAAGCTGTTTCAGTATTGTATTTTAATGTAAAAAAAAATATTCCAGTAAGGTAAAAATATTCCTATTTCTTCACTGTGACTCTGAGAATCTATTAAACCTAGTAACATTATTCTATTTCTATCGGGCCACCAACAGAAGGAACCTGGGGACTACAACCGCAGATGGCGCAGCACTTTTAAGCCATTCAGACACCAGTGTAAATTCTATGCAATAGTAAGAATACACAGACAGACCCTTAATGATGGGATGTCACATAAATATTCCATTGTGGTCCCTTGGAAAGAGCAGATCAGATGTCCTGACCCCAACATTTGTAAAAAAGGCTGTCTAATTCCATTGGATGCTCAGGGGCATTTCTGCTACAGGGAAGTGTTTTAAAACAGCAAATGAAAGATCACGGCTTTGCGTTCACTCTGCATTGCCTTCGTTCACTATAACTCCAAGAACAGAAAGGAAACACAGTCCCGGAAGGTGACCAGGACTAAGGTGTATTATTGGCACAGTACTCCCCATTACTTTCACCCTATCAGGGCAGATGGAATCACGTCTCAGCCATGGAACTGCTGAAAAAAACCAGATGTGCCCTGAGGAGGATAAATGTGCAGTAAAGGGATAATTAAGGATTTCCTCTTCTTTTAAGATATCAGAAAGGGAAGTGGTCTATGGATAAAAGGTGGTTATTTAATTAAGAGAATGTGTTAGTAATTAGGCTACTGAGACTACTTCCTACTCTTTGGCTCTTCTGTGCTGGAGGGTCATTCCAGTAATTCCCTGGCAGGAAGAAAGGAATGTTTCCTTCAGCAGTGTGAAAAAATGAATTAAGAAGAGCAAAGATGAGCAGCCCAGGGGGCTGTGTACATCTCAGCACAGCCAGCCTACCCATACAATACATGCAACATGGTTTCAGGGCACTGCTAGCTGGTCGGAAAGCACAGGTATGCCCAGTTCATGCTGAACAGCTGGGAAACTGCCTTTCTCAGAAGGGTGACTGGCTTCTGTCAAGTCTCCAGTGGATGAAATCAACTACCAAGAATAATGTGCTATACTGTCTGTCTTTGTGAGAAAGGAAGGTACACCATGAACCTCAGACCAAATTATTCTGACATTGCCCCTACCCTGAACTCCCGTGAGGCAGATCAGACTCTTCTACTGTCAGCTTAGCTGGAGAAGAGAGCAACCTGCTATTTATTCTAAGGCCATGTCAAAGATCTCACTTCAACAGTATGTGCTGAAGGAAAACTGCTTAGGCCAAGGGCTGCAAACAAACTCTAAGGAATATACAGGGAAAGATTTCCAGTGTGGGAAAGGCAGGTTTGGGAATCAGCCCTTCCAAGGCATATGATGGAGAATGGAGAGCTGGAAAGGACCTCATAGTCCCATATAGACCACTCATATGTCTACTCAGCAACAAAACAACAGGCTGTTGGGTTACCTATACAAAATTAATGTGCAAGTGGATGAACAACTAAACTACACAAAGAAAAATCTTAAAGAGTGGACTTTGCCTTTAGGTTATTCACTGGGCAACATATTCTGTCACCCTGCTTTCCTTTATGGCTGAGAATAGGAAGGTAAGACTTACTGAACAGTTCCAACTGGCCACAACAAAACTGATAGTAAGAGGTAATGAGAGTGATTCACTATCCAAAGCTCTGAAATGAATGAGGTAAAAATTTTATAGGAAGCTTACGTGGCTAGGCTGCTGTCTGGTCTCACAGCTCTTTTCAGATGAGTAATATGGATACCATAAATGAAGGGCAGTATTTTCTTCCCTGTCCTAACTGTATTGCATTTGAAGCAAATGGTAATTTAATCAAGCCTCTCATCAAAGACAGGCGACTACTAAGACTCAGAAAATCACACTTAACCTCTTCACCAGTGTGTGCTGTAAAATCACGTGTATAGTTACCAGATTCAAAACTGCTAGTGAAAAAAACCCTGAAGATTCAACTTGGCAATGCAACAACTGGTGACCGCAAAAGCCAAGAGCAGTAGCAGACTGCTAGGCGATTCTGAATCTAGCAGAAAGCCAAAGTAGCAAAGAAAAGGAGAAAGAAGCAGAGGAGACATTTGGATGCTGGAAGCAAGGATTCTGCTTTACTTCTATTTTCTGCTCATTGTATTATTTCTTATTTGGATCATGGATAACAAACAGTGATAAACCACCAAATAGTGGTAAAACCTTAAAAAAACACCAGGAGAAAAGCAAACCCTTTTAATCCAAAGACCCTTCCCCCAAGAAATGTCTCTGACTTTGAACATTAGTCCTTGCTGTTCAAGTGTTACCAACAGTTTCATCATTTCTGACCTTCAGGATTGAAATACTAATGACCAGGAAGTGTGATGGAGCACACTGTCATCAGGTTTGCAGACAATATCAAACTGGGAGGCCCAGTCAGTATGCTGTAGGACAGAGCTGCATCCATAGGGACCTTGACCGGCTGGAGGAATGGGCCAACACAGACCTCAAGAAATCAACAAGAACAAATGGGAAGGAAAAACCTCTGAATGATACAGGCTGAGGAAAGCCTGGAGAGGGAGCAGCTCTGTGGAAAAGGACCTAGGGGCCCTTGAAGGTGGTGAGCTGAGTATCATCCAGCTGTGTGCCCTGGCAATAATGAGGACCAGCAGCATCCTTGGCTGTGTGAATAGGGTCACAACCAGAAAACCAAAGAAGGGATTATTTCCCTCTCCTCAGTGTGTATTAGACCACATCTGGAGTACTGTTTTCCATTCTGGGCTCCTCAGTACAAGAGAGACGTTGACAAATTGGAGGAAGTTCAGGGGAGGGCATCAAAAACGTGATGGGCTGGAGCATTTGCCCTCTGCAAAGAGGCTGTGGGACCAAGGCTGGTTCAGCCTGGAGCAGAGACAGCTTTGGGGACACCTAACAGCAGGCCCTGGTACCTATGGGAAGGTAATGAAATATATGGAGTCAGGCTCTTCACAGCAGTGCATGGTGGGAGACAGAAACAGTAGTCATAACAGGAAGTGGGAGGTCCCAACTAGATATAAAGAAAAAAATTTCGCTCTGAGGGTAACTGAGCACTGAAGCTTGTCTCCCAGAGAAGTTGAGGGATCACTGTCCTTTTGGTCTACATCTTTTGATCTACACTAATTTTTTAACTCTGTGAAAGTTTAGTGCCAAACCTTTATTTTTGGTACCTGAATAAGAAAGCAGCCTCCTAGTCAGTTACGCTGCTGTCCTGGTTTTGGCTGGGACAGTTATTTTCTTCCTAGTAGTTGGCATAGTGCTGTGTTTCGGATTTAGTATGAGAATACTAAACGAGACTATGACAGTTGCCCATTCAGACTTTTACTGGGACTATGTAGCTCAGATTTTTCATAGTGTCTAATGCATTGACAGAAATTCTGATGCCTCCCCTCTTAAGTTTCACTGGTGCCTTCACACAGCAGGATGAGGGAACTGTAACCTGTAAAACAAGCCCTGAGCTTGTTTTATTGGGTTTTCTCCCTCTTCTAACAGGACTGCTAGCTTTTGTGTATGCTTTCATTTCTCTTTTAAAGCTACATAATACAGAAAGGCTCAGCCAAAATTGAAGGTGAGTCAGTGTTGATTTTACCACACTTAGTTTTGCTTAAAGCTACTCTACTTACTATGCTAAGCTTATTACCCTAAGCCAGAGCTTCACCTGGTCCCCACTGACTTCTGTGGGAACAGAGGCCTATCCAATATGCTAACTTGGAATGCCTTTTCAAATGTTCATCCGACCCTCAGAGCCCTGTGCTAAAACACTGCAGTAAGGACTTACCTGCTGTGGAGACAGGACATGGTCCCAAATGTTGAGCTGGCTGATGGAGCCCACAAAAGATTCAGCTGGGTTGAATCCTTCTCCTTTCTGATCCTGCTCTTGACCCAGCACAAGTGCACCACCACCTAAACTCAGAAAGAATTAGAACAGGGATAGGAAAAAAAGCCTTACAGCAGGCATCCCCATAGGAAGATTAAAAACTAAGCAAAACAAAACTTCTGCTACCCTACGTTACTAAGATTTTGTAGTGCAGGAGACCTTCAACAGATTCTTTCAGCAAACCTTTGGGAAGTCTTACGCTATGCTGAGGTAAGTGAACAATTTGGAAGTGACTTTCAAATATGCATTAATGTTAAACTCATGTTGATCAGAGCAGAAACTTTACATGGCTGGTTCAGGAATGGTATTGGGTCTAAGAGACCACTTCTAGCTCAGTATTTGAAGCTTATTACAGAGCAATGCAAAATGCAGTTTTGAGCAGGTGGGGCAGTGCTAGCTTGCACTTCCTGCTTTAAATAAAAGCTTAGAAAGTCAGATAGAACAAATTTGACTTCAAACCCTCAGAAGCACATTGGTGATTAGACAGTCAATGTTCTGACATGCCATACAAGTTAAATTTCCTCTCCTTGACCAGTAGCACAGATGATGTGGACATGCATTTTGTATGTCACAGGGTGTGTGGACAAGGGCAGAAGGTAATGGAGACTGGACACTTCCTTAGGTCTTCTCTCTGGACATAAATCCAATGCAATTGGGAAAGACAGGGGCATGCATAAGGTACACAGACTAAAATGCTTCACTTTTTTTTCCTTTTAATATGATAGTTTTTTGAAACTCTATGTAGATTTGGACAGTAGCAGTATGAAAACACTATCAAAACCAAATCTCTTTGTAGCAATCTAACACCAGGCCTTTCGCAGCTCTTCAATGCTGAAGGTATTCCTTTTCATGTCTTCTGATATTACTCGGAAGACCACTGATCACAGGAAACAATGAAATAGCAAAACCCACCTTCTTAGGAAAAAATGCAAACATAACTTTAAAAAGATGTCTGAAAGTAACAGGAGAAGGCTAATTCAACCAACTCTGAGCACACATTTGTAAGGGAAATGCCAGTTAAACTCAAGTTTGTTGTGTGAGAAACCTATTCTCACAAAGCCATTCCAAAATCAGCTCAGCACAGGCTCCTTTGTGGACTAAACTCTGTCACCCCCAAAACAAGTTACCTACTAGTTTACCCTAGAAATATGCACTTTGTCTTCAGCAAGGCTGAGTGAGGGAACTGTCCTCATGAATAAGAATAGCAAACATGAGCCCTGCATACATGCTGAAAATGTAAAAACATACTAAAACCACCAAAATAAACAATTCCTTGCAGGCATAGCAAATTCTGCAATAAAAACAGAATGAAGGCAGCAGATCTGGTGTAATATAAATAAAGCATACCAGGGATTTTTGAGCCAACAGAGAGCCCACTGCCTCCATCAGACAGTTTTCCATCGATGTACACTTTCCATGCCCCATCCGTGCATGTCCATGTGACTGCAATGTGATGCCAGTTACCATCATTCACTGAAGGACAGTCTGTGATCCTCTCTTTGCCATTTACATAAAGAACCCAGCTGCATGGAAGGAAGATGAAGGCATACTCAGTTGGATGCAGCAACTTTAAAAGCATTGGCTGTCCCACATGACTCAAAGAAATGTTATTTGCCAAATGAGGTAACTGTGTCTACATCACACAAGAAATCTCTCTTGGAATATCATCATACAAGATCTCTCTCTCTGAGAACTTGGAAGGTATGGTTATCATATGCAAAGCATGGTGAAATAAGTAATGTGCTTTTGTACCAAAACATGAAGACTCAAGCCATGGCTGCACAGTGGATTCTTAAGTTTGCCTCTTGGGTCCATCCCTGCTTTTGGAATAACACTACAAGTACTCTCTGTGCTGAGCTCCATTTTATCCAAACATTGTTTCAATGCATCATTTAAGTATGATGTAAATGTATTCTAGACAAAAATAATCCCACTTTCTAAACTTCACTGCTTTCTTGCCATTACTCTTCTATTTGGCAAAAAATAAAGGAAACAAAGCAAGAAGAAAAACAACACAGAGAGGCAACTCCAGCTATGGAGTTTGGATGCAGATTTTTCTACCCCATAGTAGGCAAAGCTGATATTCAGACATCTGGTCTATTTTTTCTTTATCAATTCAAGACATCTGTAAGCTACAGAAAAGTAGAACTGTGATTTACCCATTGTAATCAGTCAGAAGAAATGCATTATCACTTCCACTCTCCACTGCGTAAGAAATGGGAGTCCCATAGTTTGTGGTGTCAGTGGATTTCATCCAGAATGTACAGGTGATATCACCAAGAGATGGGAAAACACCATCAAGCATGACATATCCATAGATACCAGAGACTTCAAAATCAAGATTGAAACCAGAGGACTGTTCTGCAACAAAGAATTTTCAGAGCTACATTCCTGAAAACCCAGAAAAAGAATCAAATGGAATCTAAGCAAATGCAATAAAATGGAATGCAACCCATGTATAAAAATTATTCACTTTAAATTAATCACAGGTAGAAAGAATATATAGCAGTCCAACATCAGGCAGCATACACAGCTTTCCAAGGCTAGAAAACACACAGGGGTTGAAGAAAAACAACTGGAAAAGAAGCTGATTATCTAACAAACAATGAACATGAACCTTGCTTTTCAGTCCTCTATCAATGAAATGACATATCCATCTGCCATCCAACAACCCAAAGAGGTGTGATCAGCTGGTTCCATTTTATTCATAAGAGTCAAGATTTTGGAAAAAAAAAGGAAAAAAAAAAAAGATTTTTTTCTGCTCTGGACTTACTGAAATATAGTGCACTGGTATGGAGCAACACTTCTGTGCTGCTTTTCAGTGCAGAGTGACATGCTTTACAAGGATACTACATGTAAACGTACCAAGTGCAGCTCTCCTGAAAGCTGGGTGTTATTAAACTCAGACATAGGATGGTAGGTCTAAATGACCTGTATGTCCTCTACTGTCTCTGCAAAATCGACACAGGTTCTTCAGCTTCTGTTTACAGATTCACCAGCTACTAGTGTAACACTTTATAATTTTCATGTAGTGGCTAAAAGACAAATGGATTTGAGCCTCATGGTTGTGTGGCCTAATTCCAGCATAATCCAGGAAACTGCACTAGGTGTGACCCATTTTGCCCGATCATAGGGAACTTGATGCCTTTAGGACTTCTAAAGCTGAAATTACCACATACTAATCTCTAACCCTGTGAAGCAAAGCCCTGCATGAAATACAAGAAACAGAAAGAGCTAATTAACTCAGATACACAGAGCAAATACAAATTAAACTTGATAGACCTACTAGGTATTAAAGACAGAACTGTGCCTTAGAAAAGAGAAATTAATATATAAATATGACATAGCACACATGCTGTTACTTGTCTGCAATTACACTTACTAACACTGCAGTCACACAGGCTCCACTCAGCCTCTCAGAGTCCCACCACCCTAGCTGCTTTCTGGGGAAGCTGTATGAAATCAGCCCAGCCAGTGCAAATCTTGCCCAGAGACTTAGTCAAGCCACCTTTTTCTGACACTTGGTCCTGTGTACCTGTTTCACACCTGCTGCCTGTAAAGCCAGGGGGACATTTACAAACGTACGAGTTCAAGGCATCCACACAGGTGGCTTGGTTTAAGCAGGGACTGGAGTCGCAGTCATTGATGTTCACTTCACAGTTTAGTCCTGTGTACCCTGTCACACAGAGACACCTATGGAGGAAAAGAGAAAGACATTTCAAAGGTGGCTGCTGTCACGACAAAGAATCCTGGCCACAAGGCCAGGTCCACCAATGGGAATGGCATATACTGAAAAAAAAAATCAACAGTAGAGATACTACAGAATTAATGGAGTTTTATTTTGGTTGTTCCTTTAAGTATATTGTATTCTAATAGCTGTATAATATTTCTTCTTAATAGGGACAATACAATATTTAAACACTGTGTCTGTGTTTCTTCATATGAAACTGGGAGAGGCAATCATTGCATTCCTGTGAGAGAAAAATGCCTTCTAGAGTCCATGGAATTATAGAACGAGAGGTAGCCAACTTTTTGGGCATATATCCTTACACTGAGGGAAAACCAAGGCAGTATAAAGGCACCAAAACCTCTGGTACTTGGAAAACTAAGGTGTTTGAAAGGCACCAAAACTTCTGGAGCTTTGGGGAGGGAGAGAGTTATAAAACCTAGACAGTAACAGCTGGTCCATCTCTCTGTCTCTACAGTGATCTAGAATGTGAGACTGCTATTGGTAGTTTTAACTTCTGATCTGCATTCAGATACCCTAAAGCATAAAAAAAAATACCGCTTCCACCAGTATTGTGTTTTAATCTCTGTATTCTCAACAGGTACAGCTATCCCTGTCTTGCAGGCTGTAGGAATGTAGTATTATCAGGTACATAATTGGTTATCACCTACTCTTCTAGTGGAAAGCAAGACAAGCCCTTGAAGCTTTGGAAAGGGGATTTCTTTTGGAAGATCAATATTAAAACCATGCAGTACTACCACGCTTACACTTCAAACTCTGCATATTTTCTTCGCTGTCTACCTTGGAATTTTTTAAGAGTGAGGACACTGATTTATTTTCTTGCCTTTTAAAATCTCCTTTAGTGTGCACAAGGGGACCATTTATATTGGATCAGGCTGCCAAATGCCTTGCTGAAATCTAAGAAGACTGAAGCACCACAACATATTTGACTTTCCACATTGTATTACATTGATCATCTGTTTTTCACCTGAAGCTGTTGATACCATCTCTGCACGTAGCTCCATTCCTACAGGGTCTGCTGAGACACTCATCAATATTTCTTTCACACAAGACACCAGTAAAACCTGGAAGGCACTTGCAGGAGAAACTGCCAACTCGATCTTCACAAATAGCCCTATTAAGACACGGGTTTGAAAGGCATTCATTGACCTCCGTTTCACAGTGAGCACCTAAGAAGAAAAGAACAAAGTCACAGCTCTGCTTTGAATTAACCTAAGAAAGATTACTAACCCATCTCTGTTTCCTAAGGACTGTTGCCGATCTTCTGGGAAACAGCAAACACCAGGGTAGCTATGCAGGTTTGGGATTTACTTCATTAACTGAGGCTAAGTGGTCACAGAAGAATTACAGGAACCATCTTTACAGTTGTAGGAATTAACACACAGCAAACTATAGGGAATTTAAATGGATATTACCTATTATATGAGTAATTTGGGCTGAATCAGGAAATCACCTGAGAAACTATTCTGAGTAACTAATGAAAAGCTGCCTCAAAAGACATTTAGCTGGAACCTTAACTCTAAGGAGAAACATGAAAGCCAGAAGCACATGATTCTGGGATTTCTGCTGTGAAAGAGGCTCTAAGTTACAAGCACTGAATAATGCAGAAACTGTGTGTGATTTTATAGTGGAGCTCTTTGATAACATGACAATTAACAGATATGCCCAGTTGTTGCAGAAATCTATGCAAGCAGTGGAAAGCCAAGTATGGGGATGGGGAGTAGTTTTAATATAGACCATCTCGTCTACAGTTACAATATTTTTCTTTTTCAAATAAAATTAAAAATAACAATTTGCACCCATGTGAATGGCCTTATTCTTTCCTCAACATCACACAGTGAGTTCATGGCAAAACTAGGAATAGAAGAGGACTGAACACTTAGTAAATCCTTCTGAAGCCACACTTAACACTACAGGGACTCTGAGAGATTACACAGACCTAGGGAATCTAGTACATCCATATCAACATATAACATATGTAATAGCAATGTATAGCAATGAGACTGAAATACTTTGGACAGGGTAGGAAGACACCTTGTATCAGAAAGAGTGAAGGCTGACTTAAACAGAAAAAGGTGTACCTGTAAACCCTTTTGCACAAGTGCAGCGGTATCCGTTCTTGCCATCAACACAGTGGGCTCCATTCAAACACGGATTGGAGCTACATTCATTTATGTCTTCCTCACACAAGAGACCTTCAAACAGCAAGGGTTACAAGGCATGATCAAGACATACTTAAGGTCTGCATGCTGCAGTGACTGCATGTGGAAGACAGAACAGCACCATACTGCTTGCATAACAAAAGGCTACTGAGATCAGGTGAAAGAATCCCATGTTTGACTGCACTACTGCAAACATCTACAGAGATCACTTGTGTTATTCAGAAGCTGGGATGTGAAATATGGAAAGTCCATGGTTTGCCTTTATAAAGTTTAAAAATATCCAGCAAGTGTTGCTGTTGATAAATGTATAGCCATAAACATGAAAAATGAGGGCGACCATTTCTGGTGGAAAACACCAGGCCCTTTTTTTAATCACATAAAATCATCTCCTCAATAGTTTATTTCAATAATTAGAAATTAGGTGCTGTTTTGGCAAAGTACTCAAACAT